TCCCTGGGCCTTGAATCAGAAGCTTTTGAACCTTGTTAGCAATTAGACTTCTTAATTCATTTTCTAAAATGGAGGCTGACTCCCAAGACCTCTCTCTCCTCTACAGTTTCTTCCAGCAACAATTTTCCATAAACCTAGGAGTAGAGAAGTTTCTGTCACCTCTGTCCCCCAGATTCTGTTCTCTGCATGTTGTGATATTTGTGCATTTTTCACACACTCCCTGGGAAGTTTCTGCCCTTGCTTCCTGTTAGTTTGGCCAGTCTGGGCTATGCAAGAAAGAGAGGGGCCGGGCTGACTGAGCATGGAGAGCATGTCTTCACTGTGGTGAGGATGCATGCTGTGTGTGAGGGGTCAGCAGGGGGAAGGTAAAGACATGGTCAATGGAGCCCCAGACTGATGAGGTAGAAGGTCACCAACCCGAAGGCTCCATGACCTGGCCTCAGGTTGTTCCTCTGCACCTAATGGGTGTGACATCGGACAAGTCAATTAACCACTGTGGGTCTCAGTGTCCTTACCTGTAAAATATGGGAGTGACTTTGGGGAGGATTCTATGGTCCCTCATATATAGGTCTCTCCAAATGGACTATGAGGCGAGGCTCTGATTTCCACTCTTTGCAGTCATGATGCCCAGGACAGGATCTGGTACATACTTATATCAATTACGCATACATTTGGCTGTAACAGAAACCCACTAACAGTGGGACACACTGAGGTTTATTTTTTCCTATTAAAGAAGACTGGAGCTGTGCTGGTGTTGGTTCAGGTGCTCCAAGAAGCACTTTTCTTCCTTTAGTTTTTATTTTATTGTTTCAATGAAGGTTTTGATAAGAGCTTTTCATCTCCCCCTCCTCCATCCTTTGCACCATTGGCCTTTTGTTCTCATTCTTGTCAACTGAGAGTCTCGGGAACTTGCCACATTGCTAACCTTCCAATCCTCGTTCACAGCAAAAGGAAGGGGAACAGGTGGCGCCAACCACCTGTCCCTTTTATAATGAAAGTCGAAGGAAACTTTCACTTTCATTGTAAAAAGCCACATCAGGTTATATCTCATTGGCTATAACTAGGTCACATGACCACCACTAGCTGAAAGGGATGCTGGGAAAGCAGGTGTCTGGCTCTCCAGCTTCTATGGTGGGAGACGGCAGGAAGATGGTAGATGTGGCTGTGGGCTCAACCAATATTTTTAAATAAACACGACTAGGCAGTCATCTGGCCAAAGCTTCTCTCTTTCCAGGCGGAGTGTACTATGCGATTATTTTGGGGAAATCAGCACTACCTTGGATGTGCTTTGGAGTTACTCACAGTGTATCTTGTTCTTCTAGGCAGAGCAGGAATGGCTCTGGCTTCCTCTCGCAGGTCCAGGCAGAAATCAGACCCGGAGGGTCAGAGTCCAAGGACACGCCGCTCACAGGGACTTCACTCGGTGTTCTCCCAAGGGAAGACCCGACACACTCACCTCCCGGTCAGAGAGGCATTGCTTTCGTTCCCCACCGCGGTCACCGTCCTCCCCTGCCAGCCAAGGGGGCCGCGTTGAGAAGCCCCTGGTTCTGACTGGTTTTCATGACTTCCTGATTCAAACGCATCGTCCCAACACCCGAATGGGAAGGTGACATGTCCGCAGTGAAAGGACACTTGCCAGGATGTGAGGGGACACAGAATGCAATCTGAAGAGCGGCGCGGTGGGTTCGGATGGAAAGGGGCATGGACATGACTGGCCAAGTGCCTGGCACACAAGGGGCACTCGATAAATGTTCAGTTATTACCATATCGTTATGAATAAGAACGATGCTGTTTTCCTCCCGGCCCACCTTGCCACTGAGGATCTAGCTCTCTTTCGCCAGATTCCCCACCTGTCTTTTGGACAAAGGGACAGGATCCAGGAGTGAATGATGCAGCTACCCGGTTCACTCCCCTCCTCGGGGGATTTCTGGAGAAAGCTAGGCAGGCGAGACACACTTGAGGTTTCCTCGGGCATGTCAGGAGTACTCTGGTGGGTACACTGTTTGACACAGAACCTAGCCATTAAGGGAGGCAGCCTGAAACCCTAATTGTTGCTTTGAAAATTTTCCTCCTCGTGGTAACAACTTATTTCCCGGAATTTAATTCTATTCGTTTTCCAAACAGCGAGAGAGAAGCTATTTACAACTGGTATTTCTGTACAAAAGAAGTACAAAGTCCTCTAGCAGAGATCTCCTTCTATGTACAGGGTGGGGCAAAAGTAGGTTTACAGTTGTCCGTATAGAAAATAATACAATAATTAATAAATAAGAATACAAGAATAAACTGTTTCGTGTACTCGCAACTGTAAACCTACTTTTGCGCACCCTGGAGATATGGCACATCTCCGTGTCCTAACACAGATGTTCTCCCCATTTCCTGGTGGACAGGGTGGGGCTAGAGCTGGTTTACAGGTCAGTATTTCTGGGTCTCAGGTGCAAGGCAGTCACTGATGGTACAGAGACAATTCCAACGTGCAGACTCACGTGTTGTTTCTAGCTTTGCTTTTATCTCTCCTTTAGGCTGGGAGGTACTAAAGTGTAATAATTAGGAATCTGAGTCTTGAGTTTGTATCTTGACTTGGCTGTTTTCTAGCTCTGCAACTTTGGACCCATTACTTATTCTATCTGAACCCGATTTCCTTGACTGCATAGTAAGCAATTAATAGCAATACCACAAAATCATTGCAAACATTAAATAACATACTGTAGCCGTGGCCAGTTTGGCTCAGCGGTTAGAGCGTCGGCCTACGGTCCAGGGAGACCCGGGTTCGGTTCCTGCTAAGGGTTGCAGTTTGTCCCCGGCCCTGGTTGGGTCGTGCGGGTGGCAGCCACTCGATGTGTCCCTTTTACGTTGATGTGTCTCTCTCTTCCTCTCTCTCTCTCTCCCACTCTATCTGAACAAAAAATGGAAAAATGTCCTTGGGTGAGGATAAAAATAAATAAATAAATAAAAATGACATACTGTATGAGGAGGTATTTTGTAAAGTGTTCAGTTGCAAATTTAGAAAACCCAGTCCAAACAAGTTTAGCAAAATAAAAATTTACTGACCCTCGTAAAGAAGAGTTAAAGCTTCAGGCATGGTGAGATCTAGGGTCCAGATTTCACCTTACTTTCACTCCACGTCCCTCCCCATTGGCCCTCCCCTCAGACAGGCTCTGTCCCCGCAAGGCAAGGTGGCTGCAATAACTCCAGTCTTTCTCCTCCAGTCTCTTCCAACAGTCCCAGAAAAGTGTCACTGCATCTCATTGGCTCTGAATGGATAATCTAGGACCCAGTGTGATGCTGTGATGGGCATGAGCCTACCTCTGGAGCAAGGGATGAAGTCAATATCCCCTGCGTTGACCGGAAGTGCAGTGGTTCCCGAGAAGGGAATTGGGGTTCTTGCCAAAGGAAGGGGACTGGATGTTGCCAGGGTCAGGGTGAATTCCCCCTAGAAGGCCATCAAAATGAGAGAATGGACTTTAACACCAGTTCTAGAATTCCATATGCAGACCTTTTTTGGACCTTAAAAAATTAGATTAAATAAAGAAAGCACCACTTGATACACTAGTCATGAACTTATATGATTATTACTTTAAGAACTGAATGAAAACTAAGATTAAAACGATTCTGATGGAAGATTCACAATGAGAAGCGTGTGGGGCAGGGTGGGAGGCGGCATGGGGAACTCAGAGGAGTCAGCAGGCAAGGACGCCGCCGCCCCGCAGCAGAATGCGGGGCAGCAAGGATGCAGCCTGGAGGGTGGATGGCGGGCCGAGGGGTGCAGTCTCTGAGTGTCCAGAAGTCTCCACCTTATCTTCTGGAACCACTCCCCTGGCCAAAGATCTTCAGTTGAGTTCTTCCTGCCAAGTGGTGGTTCCCAAACGTGGCTGCTCACTAGAATGACCGGCTCTTTAACAAGATAATTCCAGGAAGCTCCTGCCAGCAATTGATTCACTCAGCCTGGGGTGGGGCCCAGGATTGCGGATTTTAAACAAGCTCTTCTGGCGCCAGGACTAGTGTTTGGGTCTCTAGGGGCCCTGTCCATCCCTCCCACTGCTCTCCCCACTCTGTATGAAACAGACCTGTTGACCCTGCTGTCCCCTCCCCAGAGTGTGAGCCCCAGAGAGCAGGGGTCCTGCAGCTTGGACACCCCGGGTGCTGCACAGTGCCTGGTGCGCAGTGAGCGCCCACTGGTCCTTTGCTGAAGGAAGGGGCACGCACAGGCTGTTGGGGAAGTGCCTCTCCCCCCGGGGGCTTTCCTGGGGGAAGAAAAGCTTCTATTTCTGGAAGAGCTCTGTGATGAGAAAAGGTCACAGCAGCAGACGAAGAAAGGCCCCTGGGGAAGGGATGGGCTCCAGGTCTTCCCAGACTCCATACTCTTTTATAAGGCCCCTCTACAACCTCAGTAACAAAGCGACAGCAACGCTGACTGCAGTGGTACCAGTTAGCATTCAGCCCCACTTTACAGATGAGGAAAGCGAGGCACAGGGAGCTAGCTGGTCCAGGAGCCCGTCGTAAGGGACACAGCCTCTCTCTCTCACCGGGGGGCAGGGCAGTTCAAAGAACACATCATGAGTCTTTGTCAGGTGCCCATTTCCATCACAGAAGCGTCCAGCAAAAATGAGTCAAAGCTAAGGAAATTGGAAGAGAGCAAAGGGCCTCTCAAGAAAGAAACCATTGTACACCTTTCCAAACAGGCTATTTCTGTCTAGTTTTTATCCCCCTGCTGCTGCGTGCTGAAGGTCACTGGCTACGTCTGTACTAACCGGTGAAGTCACGACAAGGAATACTTGGCCAGGACACCCGGGGCTGGGGGACGGCTCAGGGAGGCGGGAAGAGAGCGGAGGTGAGGCAAGTCAGCAAGGGCCAGCCTGGCCTGCTTTCCCTCCCCGACTGGCCCCGTGACCTTCTTTCCTCCGGGTGACCACTCCCCCGCTGGCTTTCCGGCACACCCGCCGGCAGGCGCCGGGAGTCAGTCCGCATTCCTGCAGCCGGCTGCTGGGTGCTGCCCCCCGCTTCTCCGCCCGAACGCTCTCTTGGAAGAGCTGGAAAGGTGGGTGCCAAGCTGAGGTTCGTTTCGTGCTTTTCAGAGTTTGCTTAGTAAGCGTTGAGGGCGGGGTGGGGCATCGGGCCTAGGGTTTGATTATCCTCGAGAGAGACACAGGCAGTGGTAGAGGCTGGCTGCTCCGAGCGGGTGGAGGTGTGGGGAGCCGGCGAGAGGGTGAGGGGGGCAAGCGAGAGTCGTGGCTGTTCTCTTTTGGACCTGCCAGGGCCGGACTGAGAGGACTTTCGTGCTAGAGAAGAGAAATCCGGAGGCAGCAAGGCCGCCCTTGCTGGACGGTGCGTACTCTGCTGGTGGAAGCCACTAAGTAAAAGGCACCTGCTTAGGGGAGGGGCAGCGGGGAGAGCCCGGCGGCCCAGGCTCCCAGCCAGGCTCCTTCTAGGAGGAAGCCGAGCACTAGAGCGTCTCCCCCTCCAGACCAGGCACAGAACAAATCCTGAAAACACCACTTGGTCGTCCACAGTACAAACGAAGGGGGAGACAGTGCAGGAAGGTTGAGCCTCCCACGAGATGGCCTCAAGGGACAGAAGTCAGAGGCTTAAGAAGCAAGGAGGCAGGGCTTACCTGGGGTTCAGGAAGAATTTTCTTTTTGTTAAGAGAAAAACTCCATAACATATTATAAGTGTTCTTGAGAGAGAACAATCTTTTTGCTCTATGGTTTTTAAAAATATGTTTTATTGATTTTTTTAGAGACAGAGGAAGGGAGAGAGAGATAGAAACATGGATGTGAGAGAGAAACATCTCTTGGCTGCCTCCTGCACGCCCCCTACTGGGGATGAAGCCCACCACCCGAGCATGTGCCCTGACTGGGAATCGAACCAGGACCTCTCAGTCCATGAGATGATGCTCAATCCACTGAGCCACACCGGCCGGGCTGCTCTATGTTTTCAACGAAGAACTTTGCAATTGGCAGAGCCTCCTGAGGGGTAGGATTGCCTCTGAAGGAAGGAGGGGGTGGTCCCGATGATGGAAAGCTTGAGGCGGATGTCTAGCAGGGATGGTCCCCATCGCCGCAGCCACTTCCTGTGCCTCAGCACAGTAGGCCACACACCAGGCCATGTCAGAGGTGGTTCCCTTGATGTCACTTTCTGGGCTTTCCCCCTACCTGTCACTCCCTTTTGGAGCCTTTCCCAGGCTCCTCCTCCCATGGGTTCAATATCATCTCTCAGCTGACAGGCCTGAAATCTCTATCAGCAGTTTGTTTCTGATCCCTAAGAAAGGAGAACTTTGTAGGTACCAGGCTCTGGGCTGAGTGCCTGACATGAGAGCTGGTGTGGTGTCTGGGGTGGTGTCTAAGCCAGGGGCTTGGAGCAGACCAGTCTTGACCTCACTGTGACTGGATGTGTAACCTCGGGCCAAACACGCGCCACTCTGCACCTCAGTTTCCCCACCTGCAGAATGGGGATGATGATGACACCCACCCCACAGGCTCGTGTGAATCAACACGTGCCAACTGCTTTGAACAGTGCCTGGCACATGTGTCGAGTACATGTTAGCATTTCTAATGGTCTCTTCTAAGCCTCACAGCAAAGCTCCCGGGGGAGTGTCATTTTCCTTATTTGCAGATGGGAAACCGAGTCTAGCATTTTCTCTGCTCCTCTGTAATAACAACCACAATAACAGCTAACCCTTAGAGAGTACGTGGCAGAATCAGATTTTATATCTAGGTAGTGAGTGTCAGAATCCATTCTTTCTTTCTTTATTTTTTAAATCCTACCCAAGGACACTCTTTTAAAAATGCATTTGAGAGAGAGAGGAAGGGGGGTGGGTGGGGGGGGGCGGGGAGACAGAGAGAAACATCGGTGGAAAAAGATAGATTGGTTGTGCCTCCCATATGTGCCCCAACTAGGGATCGAACCCACAACCTAGGTAAGTGCCCTGACTGGAAATCAAACCTGTAACCCCTTTGGTGCACAGGACGATGCTCCAACCAACTAGGCCACCTGGCCAGGGCTCAGAATCTATTCTTTTAATCAACCCACTAGATCACCTTACTGTAATGGTTATGGAAAGTCAGCCCTGGTGCGGACTTCTAGAATGGCACTTGCTCTGGGCCTGGAGAAAGTCCTTTCAAAGTGGCGGACCCCCAAACTCGTATTTTGGAGGCAGCACTGATCCCTGCGGGCAGACTTACAAATGTGAAAATAACCTGGCTTATAATATCCCATTCTGCCCGCACCGTGACCCTCGGTGCTATCACTGTCCTTATTTTACAAGTACTAAGAGAGATGCACACCTTCCCCTACGATGTTAGTTACCATATGTTAGGATAGGGATTCAACTTTGTGTCTGACGCTAAAAATCCCTGGCTGGGTCCCAGAATCTTTGATGGAGTTAAAAAAAAAAAAAGAAGACACAACTCCGACCCACAGAATCAGAATTTCTTAAGGTGGAGCAGGGGCCTCTGGTTTTTAAGAGCTAGAATCTCATGTGCAGCCAACCTGAACGCCTTTCCCAGCTACACTGCCTCTTCCAAGTGCCACAGTTGCATTCCCAGCCATCTGTTGAACATCCCACCTGGGCACTCACCAGCATGTCCCCCTCTCTCCTTCTTCTTGGGGCCTAGGACTACCTACCGTCCAGGCACCCAGTCTCCCCTGGGATTTCAGTCATCCTCAATTGCTCCCTCTCCTTCCCCCAGGGGCTGCTCATAATGTCTCCCCAACCCATGCCCCTTCTACGTATGCTGCCCTCACCTTGGAAAAAGCCTTCATTATTGCTGGTTTGGGTTCCTGCAGCAGCCTCTTACCTCATCGCCCTCCGACTGTCTCTATTTCTCCTTCTTGTGTCTCAATTTCTGCCCAGGCTATTCCCAGTTCTTCCCCTCTCCTCTCCATCCCCAAAGTCCAGCCCACATCCTTCCTCCTGCCAGATTTAATGAACTAAAAGCTATTTCATCACCCACTTTTCTGCTTAAAAACTTTCACCAACACAAGCCTCCCAGCTGATAATCCACATTCAGCACAGTAGATCCAATCTCTCAATTCCTGGCTAAAAATTCCAGCCCCACTGAACTTCCCCCACCCCCAAAACTGTCCTTTTACAGCCTGTGAACATGCCATGTTGTGCCTTCTGCCTGAAATGAGTTCCCAACCCGGCTTGGCTGAAAAGCTCCTACTTGTATTGTCGGACCCAGCTCAAAAGTCACCTCCTCTGGAAGGCTTCTTGGAGTGCCCCAGGGACATGGACACTACTTCCTCCCTAGCACAAGGCTCCATCTTTAATCACAGGATGAACGTGACTTGATGACATTCTGTCCCTCAGTGAACTCCTCATTTAACAATCACATAGCAAATGTTTCCCATTGCCAGGTGCAGGCCCAGGTGCTGGGGATACTGATGAATAAAACAGAGTTTCTGTCTTTAAGTCTACGGAGCATGGTAGAGAAGGGGACAGGGCACAGCGCTGCAAAGACCAAGAAGGCAGGACCAGCAGGTCTTACACATGCCTGTGAGGGAGGATGCCCATAGGGAGCGGCAGGGGAGGGGAGATGAAGAGAGGGAAGAGGTCTGGATGGGCCCTAAAATCCTCTCCCTCTTGCCCTGAGACTCCCCACACATGAAGATTGGACCTGAGAGAACCATTCTCAGATTTGTGGCTCAGAAAGATCCCTGTGAGTTTCTTGAGACTGTCGTGTCACCCACCTTTATAAGCATAACACTTAGCAGAGTTTCTGGAATGCAGTGAGACCTGGAGAAATATGGGCTGAAAGAAGGAATGGCCAAGGACGCCCCTAGGTGGGGACGGGTTGGAGTCAAGGACTTGGGGTCCCGAGATTCTGTCTCTATCGACTAAGCCTCGCTCCGCCCCACCTCCTGGGTGCTGCAGGTGCCGACTCCAGCCATGCGGGTGCTGCTGTGTGCCTGCCTGCTCCTGGTGGCCTGCGCCTCGGACGCCGAGGTGGGCTCAGACGTGTCAGACGCCAGCTACCGCATGCAGGAGCAGATCCGAGACATGTACGCCAAAGTGACGGATATCTGGGAGGAGATGACCGGGCGGCGGGCGGCAGGCGGCGGTGGCCCGGACGCCACACTGCACGCCGCCTGCCAGGTGCGGCCATCGGCCTCGCTCGACGCCGCGCAGCCCCAGGTGACCGGCCTTGTGCTCTTCAGGCAGCTGGCGCCCGGCGCCCGGCTCGAGGCCTTCTTCGAGCTGGAGGGCTTCCCGGCCGAGCCCAACAACGCCAGCCGCGCCATCCACGTGCACCAGTTCGGGGACCTGAGCCAGGGCTGCGAGTCCACCGGGCCGCACTACAACCCGCTGGGCGTGCAGCACCCGCAGCACCCGGGCGACTTCGGCAACTTCGCCGTGCGGGCCGGCAGCCTCTGGAAGTACCGCCCCGGCCTCGCCGCCGCGCTCAGCGGCCCGCACTCGATCGTGGGCCGCGCCGTGGTGGTGCACGCGGGCGAGGACGACCTGGGCCGCGGCGGCAACGTCGCCAGCCTGGAGAACGGCAACGCGGGCCGCCGGCTGGCCTGCTGCGTGGTGGGGCTGTGCGGGGCCGAGCCCTGGGCGCGCCAGGCGCAGGAACACGCCGAGCGCAAGAAGCGGCGGCGGGAGAGGGAGTGCAAGGCCGCCTGAGCGGGCCGAGAGCGCCCGTGCGCCCCCAGACCCCTCCGAGTCCTGCTGCCCCTCCGAGCTCCCCGCATCCCCTTCGTGTGCCCCAAGAGCCTGCCCCCACCTCGATTTTCTCCCTCTTCTCCCAGATACACTCTCTACCCTGAGGTCCCATTTCTGCCATGGCTGAGGTCTCCCCAAAAGTCCCCTCTACCCTGAGGTCTCCAACCAGGTTTGCTGAGACAACTCCCTCGATCAAAGGGCAGCCCCCGCCTTCGGAGCACTCCCACCCCGAGCTCTGAGAACCCGCAGAGGTACACCCCTCCATTTACCATATACCCCACCTACCCTGAGGGTGTCCTAGACTTCTGAGGTCCCTCTCTACCCTGACACCCCAACCCTCACCCCCTGAGCCTTGAGATACCTCTATGCCCAAGGACCACCCTCCTATTCCCCCACCCCTTAGATTCCTCCTGGGCTCTCTGAGACCTGTCCTGAGGTTGCCTGGAGTCCCCACCTCCCCACCCACCACCAATGCCTGCAGTTTGGTGCCCTGCCCAGTCTTCAGCTGCTTTCGGCACCGCCACCCTGCAGAGAGCAGAGACCCAAAGGAGCTGTTTGGCAATCTTCATGTTGCTCATTAAAACTCAGCTGCTCAATACTGCATCAGGGCCTTGGTTACTCCTTTTGTTTATTTGAGGCTTCTCTCCTGGGCTCAGCTACTATTTGAAAATAGCAAAGATATTTCCAAAATCCCTCTAGGACTTCTTATCCTCCTCTTCCTAATTCTGCAGGCAACAATGTTCAGTCACCGATTGTCTTGGGAGGTGAGAAAAACAAAAATTCAGCTTCCTGGGCTACATCTCTGAGCTGAGCTGTGGAACTCAACTGGAGAGAAGGAAATCTATTTGCTGTAAGTTTCCGGTGATTCGGAAACTTGGGCCACTGGCCTGGGCCCTGTGGCTTCTCACATCTGCTCTAAGTGCAGAATAAGGCCCATTTCCCAGGTGGCTGAGACAGGGCCGGTGAAGCAATGTCACTGGGCAGGATACAGGGAGGTTGGGCTGGCGGGTGAAGTCAGCCTTTCCACAGCCAGGACGACGCTCTGCTCTACACAAAGGCCCTTGGAAGCATGGGGTCCAAAGGCAGGCTGATTTTAATTCACAGCTTGTTGGAGTTGCAGCCTCTTTTTGAAAATTATAATCTACATACAGACTAGATCAGCCTTGCGTATCCAACCTTCATTTACTGAATAAAAGTTCTCATAATAACTTTTCAACCTCCTGGAATAGACCCACTTCGTAGCTGTGGCTTTTCCACCCTGGGTACTTGGCGGCAGCTTCTATTTCTCCCAGACTCTTACGACAGTGAGTCAAACTGAACCTTAGCCAGAAATCCATCCCTAGTGGTTGTTGTTGCCTTTTACTAGGGACTCACCTGTTATTAAAAATTCTCTGTCTGAACCCAAGTGACAACTGGAGAGAAAGGCTATTACTGTCTGGTGACTTTTCTTCACCAACTGGTTCTCACTGGTTTGAAATACTAACCTGAACTGTCCAGGTCAGCACTAAAAGGGAATTAAATATCCTTATCTCAAGTAAATGTGTTTACCTATCCCCACAATTACAAGTTCTGTAAAGGACGAGGCAGCAAGTATGATGGAGAGGAATAAAATGCCAAACAGGCCATCTTTGCCTCTGCCACCCAGATTACAGGTTCACTCAGGATCAGCCAGGGAGGTCTGCATTTATTTTTCAGAAGGAGACTGGTGCTTTTCCTCACTTACCTTCTGCCTTGGTCTGTTTGGGCTGCCATCGCAAAATAGCGCAGGCGGGGTAGCTTAGGAGAAACAGATTTATTTCTCACACTCCTGGAGGCTGGAAGTCCGAGATCATGGCATCAGCACGGTCAGGTTAGAGACCTCTTTGGGGTTCATGGCTTTTTCACTGCGCCCTCACATGGTGGAACGGGCAAGGGATCTCTCTGGAGCCTCTTAGGCAATAATCTCACTCATGAAATGAGTCACTCACACCCTCATGATCTGGGGATCTCCCAAAGGCTCCGCCTCCTACTACCATCACCTTTGAGGGTTAGCATTTCAATATATTTATTTTGGGGTACGCATTCAGACCATAGCACCTTCTGTCCTTGGTTTCTCTCTTCATACCCTCAGCCCCCAGACGAAGGAGACCTCAGCAGACCTACTCCTCCCCGTTCTGTCCCAGTGGAAATGGAATTGATAAAGTATTCTGTAGGGCTCCAGAGTAAGACACAGAGAGGAAATAATACAAGGGCAAATCACAGTTCACTGTCAGGGCAAAAGAAAGCAGGGAATGTGGTGGTTGATGGCTCCACTCCGCTAGAAAGGCCTGTTTGGAACCCCGGCTCTGCCACACTTACAAGCTGTGTGACCTGAGCAAGTCACTTCACCTCTCTGGGCCTGGGCCTTCTCATCTGTAAAATAAGACTTTCCCATTGGATTACTGTGAAGATTAAATCAACTATTATTCAGGAAAGGTGGAGAGCATAACATGAAGACCTGAGGATCTAATTCATAACCCTGGCTGAGGTCAGAAAAATAGCTACTATTAAAGGATTGGACTACCTTGTAAGGTACTGAGTGCCATGCAACAAGAAAGATTCAAGGAAAAGAAAAGTTGCCACCTCTTAGGTTTGTAAGGATTTCTGCATCCATTAAGAGGCTGGCTGAGAGAAATTGTGATCCTAGCTCTTGATGGGAGGGGGCCTAAGATGAGGGAAAGATTGTGGGCCATAAAGACAGGCATCTGCCTCCTGGCACAGAACCTGGCGTGTGCCACCAAACACGCCCTTTGGACCCCACGTGGGTCTCTGGAGGCTATTTTTACCCTCTCCTCTTACAGATCTATTTTGTTAATCTCTTTACATTTGCTGTTTGACTTCCCAGCCAGCTTGCTGATCAGCTTGCCTCTTTGACTCACAGGGTTTGCATTTGTCACTGAGACTTAAACACACACTTGTTTTGATTTCTTTTGGTAAAATTAGAAGCGTTTGATGTAATGACTCTACCTAGACACAGCTGGTAAAGTGAGAATAATGCTCAAGTTTGCACAGTTTAAACACAATGTAGACAATAATTAGAAGTGCTATCTTTAGATGTTTAGGATAAGCTTTTTCTCAGAATTGCAGTGAATTTTTTCTGAGTTCGGCTTTTCAGTGCATATATATATATACATATATATATAAACTAAAACTGTAAGAAAAAGAGCGAATCAGTGAATGCTTTGGTCAACTTGAAAGATTGCAGGAAATAAACCAACTGATTTTAGATCTGACATTTTTGACTGAATGGGTAAAATCTTTACATTCTCCATAATTTTCACGACGAGCATATGAGCTGATCATTTTAGGTGACAGATTGTAACTGATAAGTTGCTACAGTATGCTCAAGGAAACACTCAGCCTATGCTTGGCTTGCAGCGAGGGTGGAGAGAGAGAATGACCCAAATATTACAAATAATTAATCACTTATATCAGGAAAATTACCACATTTTAATTTCAGGTAACAAAAAAGATACAGTCATGATACGTGATGATCACAGAACCCAATAAAGCAAATGATAGAAGTTACTTCTTTCTTTAAGCTACAAAATAGCAGCTGTTTTTTAAAGCCAACTCTTTTCAATTTAATAGGCCATCACTGGCCCGGCAAGAGATCCCCAGGTATGTGTATTCCTGGGCTCACACAGGTTTCAGGAAGTCAAACTTGTCAGTGTTATGCAAACATTCACTCTGCATTCAAAAACAGTCTCATTTAGTAAAGAGGTGACAAGAATGTAAGGCAGCATATCAATATCTATCATTTTAAATTGCCTTCATGCTGTATCAACGTGTTTTGTTTTTGTGAGCAATCACAATATCGAGAGACGGATCCTTCCTATTTTTTTCTGCTTCTCATTTCTATTTAGATTCACTACTGAGCTCTCTATTGCCTCTCTCTGATCTTCAGTTTTTTTCTCTGTTCAGAAAGACATCTGGAAGAAAGGGAATATATGAAAGGAGCGAGTTAAGGGGACTCCTCTGCCTTTTTGACATCCTGAAGTACCCTCAACATTATTCAGGAAGAAGACTGTTCCAAATGGAGGCTTCCCGGATGAAAGCAGAGGGGGAGGGTGCACAGAGAACTAGGTACCAAGCCAGCCGTAGGCCTGCAGGAAGAAGGTCCAGCCAGGAAAAAGTGCCATTTTTTTGGAGGAGCAGAAAACCAAGAGAAAAGGCAAGCTGTAATTTTAAAGAAACAGGGAAAATAACCCAGTGGAGCAAGTAGCTGGTCTTTAAAATTCCTTAAAGAGGAGATTGAACCTTTTATGTCCCATGGTGAATTGGGGTGCCAATGCTCCACTTGGAAGAACACATCCGAAAATGCACCCCAACATGTGTATGACTGATACCAGAACCCTGTTTTTAGAACTTGACATCGTAGCGGTGCTGTATGTTTGGGAGGGAGGGGACAGAAGAGGAACAATGACAGAAAACCGAATTTAACTTGTTTAAGATGCCACCTGGGAGGAGGTTCCAACAGGGACTGAGCTGAGTGCCATCAGGGCCCCCCAGCTAGAGGCTTCGGGAATAGCTGCACGAGGCAAAGAAAGGGGGAGGAGGAGAGGGACAGAGGAGGCTGGAAAAGGGAAGGAGTTAGGGATGAGAAATGCCTGGTTTACAAAAACCAATCCATTTCCACAGGCCTTAATTAAAAGAACGGCAAACACTCATATGTAAAAATCCTCACCTACAGGCTCTCAGGTACAGAGAGATCACAAAAAATGCAGTGTGTGCAAACAAGCTTTCATTAAGAGGCCTGTCAGCTCTGTTTCATTTATCCAGACTGCTCTGCATCCTGCTGGCAACCAGGCTGGAAAAATAATGGAAGGACAGACACACTTGAAGAGATAAACAAGGGTGGGAACATTCCAGCTGCAGAATAGGAAGATGATAAAGAAGCCAGGGAAGAGGAGAGATGAGATGGCATTTTTCTTAACAAAACAACAAACCACCACCAGCACCCCTCCCCCAACACCACCCTCATCAGTTACGTGATATTCTGGCTCCTTAAGGGGAAACAAAGGAAACCAAAACAGACAGGTGGGGTTCGGTGACAGTGCTGCTGGTGGCCTACTCAAATCTATCCTCAACTCTCCTATATTTCTGAAGACCTAGTTTTGTCTCAATGTTTCCCCTTTTAGAGTCTGCATGTTCAGGGACAGGGCCCCTCCCTGGTTCAGAAGGTGCTCTTGCTGAACCTAAATCCATGATATAATTTCATCTTCCTTGCCAGGTATTGGTTTAGACATAGGCATGTGACAATTCTTACCAATGACATATGACAAGAACTAGGTTTTTTGCTCTTTCTGTCTCACACACACAGAAGGAGAAACTGCTTTTGCCTTTGAACACAGGTGTGAGAACAGGTGATGCCTGGAGTTGTGGCAGCCATCTTGTTAGCCTGAGGAAGTAGCTAGCATGAAGGCAGGCAGCGCCCGAAGGTGGGAATCCAGATCCTTGATAACTTACTTGAATGAATCAGACCTGGAATGCCCTACTTCTAAAATTCTTGTTGTGCAATATAATTTATTTTTCTATTGTTTAAGTTTCTTAAACAAAAAGTGTGAGTTATAGTTGAGGGTGCCCTGACTGATGCAAGGTTATCTGGTAGAATAGGGGAGAGAATGCTGTACCCTTTCACAACGACTCTTAAAAAGACAAAGGCAATCATAAGTCATTGCTGAAACTCTCCTCAATGTCTGTGGAACAGAAGAACCATGTTGGGCTGGGATCGCAGAGGTAGGACACTGTCACTTGTATGTATGGGGCCCTGTCGGGGTTACACATACAACAGGCTCAACTCATTGGCTCCAATGCCATCTCATAACACAAAACCTTTCTGGGCTGATTGCATACATGGAGTTTAGGTCATCGCTCTCTGTGACCTCCCTGCCCTGAACCCTCGACACCCTGGTGCTCACGGCAGTTTTCTTGCCCATGATGAAATGTGTTCGGAGTTTATTCTAAGCTTTGCTTTCCAGAAAGTGATGAACGGGCCCTAAAGGTGTGCACCTGGCCGACTGTATGTCAAAACCAGAGCTTCTGCAGGGAGACACTTTTTATTATTCTTGTATTAAATCTGGCTGTGTTTCCCCGTGGTGGCTCAGGTGTCCTATGCAGCAGTGTGGAACGTGTGCACACAATTAAGGAAGGCCTAATGCAGCGGGCCGGGGAGTCCTGTGGCTGCTGGTGGTGCATGCTGTGCAGCTGCAGGAGCAGCCTCCTCGCAGGAGAAGCTGAGGCGTGGGCCCGAGGGATGGAGAGGCTGGACCACAGAGGAGGAATGGGGCACTAGGGCCTGGCAGACAGGGGCGCCTCGTGTGTCCAGTTCACCAGGGGCAACAGTGCGCTGACTCGGCCTGCGCCCATTCCACCAGCGGGGTGACCGCCAGGGATGGAAAGGAAGCAGCTGGTTCCCTGCACTGTTCAGGGGCAAAGGACTGGACCCCTGGTCTGCGCACATTCCTGTGGGCTCTGCTGGCAGGGTGGGGGGGCAGGAAACGTGGCGGGGACGTGTCAGGGATGTGCTGGTTTCACGCCTGGGATCACAGTCCTGCTACACAAATCCGAATTTCAGGAGGAATTTTCCACCTTTCCCACCTTGAGAGCCTCTCTTTTCCCTGCAGGAGAGGCTCCCGAAGTGATCCCCACTCTCAGTGTTCTGAGCTTTGGGATCTGGTATCAGGTCTTCCCGGGAAGAGAAGCTGAGTTGGGGGCGAAGGAAGTTCTACCGTTTGACGAGCCTTTGATTTTCTACAGTGGAAGATGCCGCTGAGAAAAGCTCATTTTATCCCCAAGGAAAGAATCAGGTAGGGCTGGCCATGCCCGCTTCCCCCACCAGGCTGTAATAAAGGTATTTGTTTTCCTCTCTCTTTCCACTCTAGAGTCAGGAGCTCCGTGTCTGGTCTTTAAAACCCTGGGGGGCACAGAGGAGGCAGCCTTCACGTTCGGTTGGAGGAGAGAAGAGTTCGAGGTTGCAGGGGGGGCGGGAAACTGAACTGGCCCTCAGCAGCTGTATTTTGCCCGCATCCAACACGGCCATAACACCCTGCATGTAGCACAGGGTGATGAGGGAGGCAGCTGTTCCGGTTCTGGCCCTCATCTCATCTCAGAAACAAAATATCAAAACACCCCCGGAGTCCCCTTCCTCCCCTCTCACCCCGCATCCGTGCAGGCGATCAGTCCTCCGGAATGACAGGCTGGAGCGAGCGCCGGCCATCAGCACACAGGGCTCTGCGGGGCCGTGGCTGTCACACGGAAGCCCAGCTCCGCGCCCGCGAAGCCCCTTTAACCTGCAGACAGTGCTGCGGGCAGGGCGCCAAGAACACCCATGACGCGAGGTCCCACTGGGCCCTGACGTGATCGAGTGGAGTGGCGGGCCCTCCGGACCCATCATGCTCCATTACACCTTTCTCTCCAGCCGCCAACCGTTACCAACACGGAGATCTGATTAAAAACCCCATCCGCTTCAAGCTCTTCCCATAATTTTGATAGACAACATTAAACGCTAATAAAAAAACATCTTATCTCTAATAGAACAAATGCTGACAGAAAGACGGATGCTGGGAACCAGCCATATGGCGGACACGATTCTGTGCCTGGCCATGTTCACAGCGGTGCATCGTGGGCGGACAGAGACACACCGAGAAGCTTGAGGGCCTGCATTTAATAAATCACGCAGTGTTGGCACCATCAGAATGGTCACAGTTTGTGACAGGAGCCGTGCCTCTTCTCGCTTGCAGCCTTGGAGGTGTTTCAGGAGGAAGCCGCTTCGGAGACCTGTTCTCAATGAATTCTCCACCGTCCCCAGTGCCTTCGACGTGTCATCTTGCCAGGTCCCGTTCCCCTTCATGTTTTCATGGTGCTCCTCGGGCCTCCACCCTCTTGAGTCTCCTTGCCGTCTTCCAGGGTGGCAGCTTCGGCAGCTGGCTGGCTGGACTCAGAGGAGTCCTGGCAAGAGTTGGGGAGCTGCCCCTTGGAGGCCAGGCCCAGCGGGGACGGCCCCACCTCAGCCCGCAGACTCTCCAGGGGACTGTCTCCCGCCACCCCTTCCGGTTCGACAGCTGCCTGTTCCTCTGTCAGGTGCATTATGTCCCTTCCCAGCCTGTTTACTTCCTCCTCCTCAGAAGGTGACTGGGGTGACGCAGGATGAATGTGCTTGCGTTGGTTCCCGAGGCTCTGATTTGCTGGGGGGTTGACAGCGGGCCCCCCAGCATCCTCTGGCGCTGTCAACACCTCGGCAGCCACACAGCTTTCATCTCGTTCTTGGGTCTGAACCTCCCCTGGAACAGACGGAGGACAGCATCAAACCTCCGGCTGGAAGTCAGCCCTCCCTTTCTGAGCCCTCCTCCCCACCTCCGTCTGGAAAACAGGCAATGCTCCGGGCTCCCCGCCCCCGCGGCTCCCAACTCCGCTGGAAAGGAAAGCGGCAGGCACTTTGATTACTGTGCCACTGAGGGGGCCCTGGCCATTTCCTGAGCCAGCTTCCAGGCCCCTCGCCATCTCCCACTTCGCTTTCTAGCCGGCTCCTCATGCCATGAAACACTTAAATTCAGGACAAAGGGTTTGAACGTTCTGTAGCTCAGTGAAGACCTGGGGCTCTATAGACATGAAAAGGGCCCTGGCCTGTTTGGCTCAGCGGTTAGAGTGTCAGTCTGAGGTCCAGAGAGACCTGGGTTCAGTTCCCGCTAAGGGCATGTACCTTGGTTGCAGTTTGTCCCCGGCCCTGGTTGGTCGTGCGGGTGGCAGCCACTCCATGTGTCCCTTTCCCCTCGATGTTTCTCTCTCTCTCTCTCTTCCTCTCTCTCCCTCCCACTCTGTCTGAACAAAAAATGGGAAAATGTCCTCGGGTGAGGATAAAAAAAAAAGTGATTCCTTTGGCCTTCAGGGTGGGAAACAGAAGCCCAGTTTAGGGGAATTTAGTGTCCCCCCACTCTCCCCATTCTCCATCAGCACCTCATTTTTTGATGTAGAGGCTGAAGTGTGCTCAATTCCAAGTAAAACTACTATGTGCAAAAGCAGCTTCAAGCTCGCTCTGTCCCCAGCTACACTGTTCCCTAAACCCCTTCTCTATGCAGTAGAAATTCTTGAGCTGTAACTGGACGGGGACAGGAGAGACACGGGGCCCTGAGAGCTGGTGTCTAGCCCCCATTTTCCTACCCGCTTGCTTTGATCGGGAGGACCTGTCAGATACAAAATGAGAGGCAGGACCCTCTGAGGTCCCGTCCAGACCTAACAGCAAAGGTGGCGCTGCGGGACTGGGAAGCACCTGGGCAGCGAACTTTCAGGACCTGGACTTGTCAATGCAACACCAGGTGCCAAGGTGCCCAGAAGTCAAGATTTTCTTAGCCCTGGGGACACACAGTGATGGAATGTATGGAAGAGGCTCCCGGGCTGGTTCCATCTGGGCGGCTGCCTGCAGGGGCTCGGGGCTCGGGAGCACTTCCTGTTCCTCCCGCTGGCACCAGAGGAGAACCCCAGTGCCCCAAAGATACATGCAGGTGTGCTTTCGGGCTGAAAGCCAGAACTTTGGAGAACCAGGGCCAAACCGTAGGAGGGTGAGAAAGGAAGCTGACCCGTCTGACCATGCATTTTCCTCCTTAAAACCTTCAGCTGGAGTCTTGTGGCTTTTAGGAGACGTTCAATTTCTTTGACTTAGGTCCTTCACAGGGTCCCACCTGATCTGCTCCTGCTTCGCCCTGATTTCCCACGGCTCCTTCCCTACAGCGGTCCTTCTGTCCATATGCTGCCTTTCCGTCTGCCTGCACCGTTTGGTTTCTCCCTCTCCAAAGGGAATTGCACCACCTCATGCTTAATAGGTGCTTCCCTGTGCTGGGCTCGGCACTCAGCATTTTACACATTTACCTTATTCTAGAATATACGCAGGAATCTCACCCGACTGCTCACAGTGCTTGGAACATTCTAAGCATTCAAGAATGTTAAAAAATAGTAATTTCTCACTTTTCTCTTTTGTTCTGATGGAAGTGCATAGAAGTGTACAAATCCTAAGTCTACAGCTCAGTTAACTTCCACAAAGTGAACACACCATGTGACCAGCAGCTGGGACAAGAAACAAAGTATTACTGACCCCCTACGACATGTCCCAGTCCAGTCCCCCACCTAAACCCCCTTCCCAGTCAAGGGTGACCACTATCCTATTTCAGGTGCCAAGGATGAGTTTTGTCTGGTCTTTGAACTTCAAATGCTGAAGTCACACTGTATATTCTGGTGTCTGTACTGGCAGGTGATAGGTATATGGTGACTATTTATAAGAATTAAATGCATTTTTGAGGATTATTTATATAATTTAGAAAGACTGCATATTTAAAAGTACATAAATCTAAGTAGATATAATCTAAAAATGACATATTCTAAAACATTTGAATTAAAACGTAGCTTAGAATTTCTGAAACATGTACCAATATTATCATATCTATGATTCATTTCTATTTTATTTTATTATTATTATTTTAAATATTTTTCTTTATTGAATTTTTTAGAGAGAGATGAAGGAAGAGGGAGAGATAGAAACATCGATGAGAGAGAACATCGATTGGTCGCCTCCTGCATGCCCCCCATAGGGAATCAGGCCCACAACCCAGGCATGTGCCCTGACCAGGAATCAAACTGACCACCTCTTGGTGCCTGGGTCAACGTTCAACCAGTGAGCCACACCGGCTGGGCAATCCATTTGTATTTTAATACTGCATAAAGGTATTTCTTAAGAATAGGACCTGTTGAAATAGAGTCTAAAACAAATAAACAAACAAAAGATGAATGAAACCAAGAACTGGTTCCCTGAAAAGAAAAATCTTTAACCAGACCCACCAAGAAAAAAAGAGAGAGTACCCAAATAACCAAAAATAGAAGTGGAAGAGAAGCGACAACTGACATCACAGAAATACAAAAGGTTATAAGAAAATACTACAAACAATTATATGCCAACAAATTGGACAATCTGGAAGAAGTGGATAAATTCCTAGAAACATATAATCTTCCAGGACTGAAACAAGAAGAAACAGAAAATCTGAACAGACCAATTACAACCAACAAAATCAAAGCAGTAATAATAATAATAATAAAAAACTCCCAACAAACAAAAGTCCTGGACAGATGACTTCATGGGTGAATTTTACCAAACATTCAAAGAAGAATTAACACCTATCTTCTCAAACTATTCCAAAAAATTCGAGAGGAGGGAAGACTCCCAAGCTGATTCCATGAGGCCAGCATTGTCCTGATTCCAAAACCAGATACAGACACTGCAAAGGAAGACAACTGTAGGCCAATATCCCTGATGCACATAGATGCTCAAATCCTCAATAAAATATTAGCAAACTGAATTCAGCAATACATTAAAAAGATCATACACCATAATCAAATTAGATTTAGTCCTGAAATACAAGGTTGGTTTGATATCTGCAAATCAATTAATGTGATATACCACATAAGCAAAATGAAAGATAAAAATTATATAATCATATCAATTGATACAGAAAAAAAGCATTTGACAAAATCCAGCATCCATCTATGGTAAAAACTCTCAGAAAAATAGGAATAGAGGGATCATACCTCAACACAATAAAGGCCATATATGGCAAATCTACAGCTCACATCATAGTCAGTGGGGGAAAACTAAAAGCAATGTCCTTAAGATCAGAAATAAAAAAGAGATGTCTACTTTCACCACTCTTATTCAACAAATTACTGGAAGACCTAGCCACAGCATTCAGATAAGAAAATGAAATAAAAGGCATCCAAATTGGAAAGAAAAAAGTAAAACTGTCATTATTTGCAGATGACAGGATATTTTATGTAGAGAATCCTAAAGATTCCACCAAAATCTACTTGAATTGATAAATGAATTCAGTAAAGCAGCAGGATACAAAAGAATTCAGGGAGAAATTGGTTACATTTTGTTTATATCTCACCTGAGGATATTTTTCAATTAATAATTTAGAGTGGAAAGGAGGGAGGGAGGGAGAGAGAGAGAGAAAGAGAGAGAAACATCGATCTGAGAGAGACACATCCATTGGTTGCCTCCTGCATGACCCTGACTGGGGCTGGGGATCAAACCTACAACCCGGGTACAGGCCCTCGACTGGGAATCGAACCCGAGACCTTTTGGTCCACAGGCCAGTACTCCACAGGAACAAAGCCCAGGCTCTTGGCCTAATATTCAAGAACTTCAATGGCCCAACATCCACTGACGTTACTACCTGAAATCCCAACTTTTATCCTTATACCCCTAGACTCCAGCTACACTGAACCTTCATGACAGCCCAGCCCTGCCCATCGTGCCTTTGCTTAGGTGGTTGATTCCTTCATGATCATCATTTCCTTATGTATCCAGACGGCCAACCTTAAGAGTCAGCTCCACCTCCACCTGCTGCAGGAAGCCTGTCTGATTAAGTTTGGCCAGCAGTAATCTCCCCAGTGTGCTGATCCCCACAAGGCTGTGTCTGGACTTCCAAGCAACATAGTCCTTCTTTTTACCCTTAAATGGTTACCCATATACAGTTAGCTTATAGAAACCACCTGAAGTATAAATCCTGCCCGATTAATTTTTTAACTTTGCCAATGTTCTATAGTAGTGGCTCAATAAATAGTTTATTAAATGTTTGAATCTATGGACACATATATTAGTTCATGAATAAGTGAATATATTATTATATTTCAACACTGTGCATTAATAAATAAGACAATCCTGGAATTCATGGTATTTGTTCCAGCTTGTACCCTAAAAGTTCTTAAAATGGCACTTTTGGGGGAAAAAAGCGGATTTCTAACTCACACAAACATTTAGTTACACCTGAGGTACCTCAGGGAAGCAATCACGTAATTTTCACACTGACAAATACAATTTTTTAGTGGTTCTACAGGGGACATGGGAAACACTGAGTCAAAATGGGCAATTTCCAGAGCAGAACAAAAAGCTTTATTCAAGAAGAGTACATGTGCCCTGGCCGGTTTTGCTCAGTGGTTAGAGCTTCAGCCCACGGACCAGAGAATCCTGGGTTCGGTTCCTGCTAAGGGCATGTACCTGGGTTGCGGTTCATCCCTGGCCCCGGTTGGGGTTGTGTGAGTGGCAACCAGTCGATGTGTCTCTCATGTCGATGTTTCTCTTTCTCTCTCTTCCTCCCTCTCTCCCTCCCACTCCACTTGAAGATAGATGCAAAAGTGCCCTTGAGTGAGGATTAAAAAAAAAAGAAGAGCACATGACAGTCTTTTCTGCAGCTAAACTATTCACCAGCATAAGATGAATAAACTTCCAGAAATTACTCTTATGACATTACTTCTAGGACACTTAAGAGTATATTCTGGTGGTCCTGAAAAATTCACCTTACCAGTAACCACCTAGTCCCTAAAGCGTCTGTAGTGTTTTTACGGTGTTCCAGGTTAACCTTCTCTCCCTTCATTTGCATCTACGCGAATGCGGCTGACTTATGCTGGGACTTTGGTCACTGGCACTTTGCCTTGTGCCATTCCTTTAGGACGGTCTGCTTATAATCAAATGTATGAATCTTTTTGAAAATGGCAAGCCTCTGCGATTAGCAGGGAGAGCTCTGAAACTTTGCTTCTCGGGTGGGGGCGGGAGCAGCACGGGCATCACGTGCCCGCAAGGGAGGGAAGGGACAAGGCCGGCAGTCCACGGTTCGGTTCTGTCGGGGGCTTCTTTCTCAGAAAGGCCAGCTTTTCAGAGCCTCGGGCCCTTAAAGATGTAGGGGCCGGGCTCCAGGACGGGTTTGTGGGTGCGCAGCGGATTTACCAAGACACCCCCCCCATCTGTCTATCCCACGGGTGTCTACAAAACACACTCCAGTCATTACCAGGGGACAAAGAGAAGCTACTGAAAATGCCACAACTAGGAACTCGGGTGACTTGCTTTGCTTTAACTCGGTGATTCTGGAACATTAATGCTCAAGTGGTGGGACTTGCCCTTCCCTTTGGGGACAGATGCACAGCATGGCCATGTTCATAAAAGAAAGCTTTCTGCCCTGGCCCAGAGTAGGAAAATACTATTACAAATAACAGTAATTACTCTGTGCTGTTTTAGCAAACAGAATTACTATCATTAATACTTATTAATAACAATACACAGATTAATAACGATGAGGCAATCCACTGAGACAAATGCATTATGACACAAATAGTGTGGAAAGAAAAAATATTTTCTCTGAAAAAAATGAAGAAACAGTAGCTCTTCGAAGGAAAGATTGCTGGTTCCCTAAAAAGATTGCTGGTGCACCCCCCCCATTGGCCCAATGGGGACATTTGTCTCCTTTTGTTTACTGGTCTCTGATGGGCTTTGTCCTCCTGAGTGTGAGCTGCGTCAGTCGGAATTAATCAGAGACGCAGCAGTGAGGAGGCCACCCAGACTCTGACGGCCTGGTCCCACGCGCTGGCTAAGGACGGACTTGCAACAATGAGAGCTGATGCTGGCGCTCTGGAAGCTATCATTTTGAATCAGGCCATTACTTATGCCACTCTTGTGAAAATCAGGCCCGGCTCATGCTCCCTTTCAGTTGAGGGCCCAGCTGGGGGCTCAGCAAGCCCAGAGCAGATAGAAGGCTTAGCTCTCCATGTGGGTACTGGATGCTGGCATGACCACCAGCCAAGACATGTTCCAGACCGCGCACTGGGCCATGCTGGTTCCACACCAGCCTGCAAACCCACATGCTGCTGGCTGGGAAGACTCAACCTTGCCTTCTGGCCAGTGTGTGACCCACCCAAGTCAGGGGCTCTCTCTAGGAATTCTCCCTGCATGTGCTTGGGGAGCCTCTCTTGAAATCCCAGACCTGTCCTTACTTCTATTCTTACCATTCCAGCTCTAGGTTGAGCGATTAGCACAGGCTTCAAAACACAGCTGTCCAGATGTGTGAGGAGCTTGCTGAGTCCAGCTCAGACTAGCAGACCCACCCGTCTGACCCAGAGACTAGAGATAAATGGAGCATGGTTGTTGCTTTAAGTTCTAAATTTCGGGCTGGTCTGTTGTGCAGACATAGCTAACTGGTTCAGCTGGTCAGTGTCGTTGGATCGAAGCACAGTGCTCAGGTTGGCTAACCCTAAGGCTAGGAGGGCAGGCCAGAGCTGCCATTTCAAGTGGGTGACAGCTGGAAGCCACTCAGCGTCTTGAGCAGGGTACAAATGGAATGGAAAGAAGTCCCCAGAGTCTCCATGTTAAAGCAGCAGCATGAAGATGGGGATGAAGTCAGGAGAGTCTGGGAGGCAGGCAAACTAGGCTGGAAGCCCTGCTGAGGAGGGCACTGGGCCTTATGAAGTCAGAGGTGGTAGGAACGGAGGCCCAAGGAACTCTGAAGACAGGGTTAGGCTAGAGCCCAGAACTGGGTGTGGAAGGCAAGTGGCCAGTGGCCAGTGATGACTCTAAGATTTCAAACCTGGTAGCTGAGAGGGTGATGACAAAGGGAGGAGGCAGGAAGAGTTGGTGGTGTCATACTTGGAAGCACATAGAGTATTAATGGGAAAGTCTGAGCTGTGGGGAATGTGGGACTGTGACTCCACAGATGAACCCAGGGGTGGGGGTGGGGGTTAAGGATATTTCGAGAATATTTCCATAGAGGTGATGGTTGGAGGCATGACTCTGAGCAAGAGCAGATGGAGAGGCAATTCAGGTGTTCATGAAAGAACCCTGACACCTGCATGCTGGTGTATTAGTCAAGTACTGCTGTGTAACAAATCACCTTACAACTTAGCAGCTTAAGATTCAGGAGCCTGGGAGCAGCTAATCTGGGCGGTTCTGGCTAATAGTCTCTCGTGAGGTTGAATGTCAAGTGCTGACCAGGGCTGTTGTCATCTGAAGGCTAGACTGGGGCTGGACACTCTGCCTCCAGGATGGGCCCTCACAGGGTCAATGGCTGGAGGCCTCGGTCCCACACCACATGAACAGCACGGAGAGCCGCTTGAGCATCCTCCTGACTTGGCGGCCCCCCTCCTCTAGAGTAAATGATCCAAGACAGACCCCACACGTCTTTTATGACCCAGCCTTGGGAGTCACATACTGTCACTTCTGTAAGTGGCATAGATCAACCCTGACACAATGGGTGAGGACCGCACTAGGGCATGAATCCAGGAGGAGGGGGTCATGTGGGGCCATTCTGGAGACTGGCAACCACAGTGGGGATAAAGGAAGAAGATGAGCCACACTTAGAACGATGTGAAGCACAGTTTAGTTGGAGAAACAAGGCTGTCACACGGGCAGAGAGAAGCCCTCAGGCCCACTGACTCACCTGGCACCCTAAATGTGCCTTCAGAACACCCTGCCTCCAGAATGTGTGCCTGGGGAGGAGATGTTTTCTCCATGCAACTGATTCCCAAGCCACGTACCATGTGCCAGGCAATGCGCCAAGATTCTCCATCACTTAGAGGCAGGGAGACTGAGGCTGAGGTTACTAGCCCGAGGTCTCACAGCCAATATGACTTGGGGCTGGACTATGAAGCCCAGCCGTTCAACTGACTGAGCCCTCACTCCTAACCTCTGCGCCACCGTGCGGGGAGGGCAAGGCCTGTGCTTCTCTGCTGGAAGCCCCCAGCAAGATGAACCCAGCAAGGACAGAGGAAGAAACGCGAGGAATGACCCAGCAGTGCCACAGAAGCTGCGAGGAGGGGACAGACCCGATGTCCACGGAGCCCCCCTCTGACCCAGGCACAGGCCAAGCAAAGACAAAGAAATCAAGGTATGCTTACCGTCCCTGGGGTTCGCTTTGTTCTCCGAGGGCTGCTCCATGAACTTCAGCAGTGGGGATCTGGACCTCTGCACAGTGGGGTCGCTGAACATTATGGTGTCCTTGCCGCCTGCCATAGAAAAGGGGAAAATGGACATATTGGATCCTCATTGGAGTTGCTGCTACATTCACCCCCACACAATGGACTGGCTGGTACACGGGGCACTGTAGGCAACACCACGGCAGGGAAATGGCCAGCAGGCCCTTTCTGTAGTGTGAGGACAGGCAACAGTTGTCTATGAGCCCTGAGAGTCTGCTCAGGACACGGCCGCCCATAAATGCCACCATTACGGGGCAGCTAGTATGTCAGCCGAAATGAGTGGCCCTGACCAGGGTGAGACAATAACATTAACCACAACAACAGAGTGTCAGGGGTGCAGGCTTTGGAGCCACCCTACGGTGCTCGTGTCCTGGCCTCCATCACTGGCTAGCTGGGTGACTTCGGGCGAGTCACTTAACCTGTCTGAGCCACAGAACCCTCAGCTGTTAAATGAGGACAAATAATAGCACCTGCCTCACTGGGTGGTTTTGATGAACTGATTCATGTCAGGCACTTAAAGCATTTAGTCAGCACTTAATAAATATCATCTATTTAAAAAAATATTTTTTCTTTATTGATTTTATTTTAGAGAGAGAGGAAGGGAGAAGGAGAGAGAGAGAGAAACATCGATGAGAGAGAAGATCAACTGGCCGCCTCCTGCATGGCCCACACAGGGATTGGGCCCACAACCTGGGCACGTGCCCTGACCGGGAATCGAACCGGTGACCTCCTGCTGCATGGGTCGATGCTCAACCACTGAGCCACACTGACTGGGCAATAAATGTCACCTATTAAAATGATCACTTTACAAGGCACTTCCGTAGCACTGTCATATACACTACATTTGAGCTCATTTGATTTGGTCATTAAGATTGCATAATAACTCTGTCATAAGTCAGGTAGTATCAGGTTCCTCAAATTATCATAGCTAAACTTTCCCTTACAGCATATAACCCCAGACCCGCCAGAACCTTGGGTCTATTTGCAGGAACCCCCTGAGTGGACAGAGGACGTGTGCGGCAGAGAGGGTGGAAAGGAAAACCATTGCAACTCCATTCTGACGGCCACGGCCAGTCACGGAGGTGAGGAGCAGGGAAGCGTGGCTTCGGAACATGAACACCGTGAGTACCGTGACCACAGACACCAAACGTGTGGACATAAGGGGTGCTGCCACAGCAGTTACGAGAGCCCAACAGCAGGACTGGATCCCCAACTCTGCTCCGTGAGGCCTTGGGACCTCTCTCGGTGGGAACCACTGTGCCCATCCCCAAACCCTAGGGGCCATGTGCCAAATCTGTGCTCCAACCTTAGCTGCCCGACTCTGCACACAACCCTTTCTAAAGCCACGTCACCAGACGACTCTGGGGCTCAGCTCAGAGGCTCTAAAGCTCTGTGATCTTCATCAGTTTCAGGTTCACAGGGCGGTATTTGTGTGACGACTTCCACTCCTTGGGTGAACCTGGACTCTGCCGCTGAGCCCTCATTATGTGTATAATACTGTCTTCCCATGAGGCCCTGCCTTATTAACTTGCTTTCCGAAACTGTAACAGGGAGTTTACACATGGTAGGTGCTTAATAAGATCTGATAAATGTCCGAGTAAATGGCAGATGCATTCTTGGGAATCTTCGTCCTGCAGGCAGGGTGCTTGCTGCTGCCCAGGCAGATGGCATGTGTTCTGAGAGCCACAGCCTCCGGTTTCTCTGCTATGTGAGAGCCGCCCCAGAAGAACACAGCCCGGGCAGCAACTGGCCCGGCAGTTCTGCGCTAGCACAGCTATTCTTCGTATATGGAAAAAGTGCAGACATCTTCAGGCCACAGTCTGGGGAGGTTTCCCAAAGCGAACCACTGGGATATTGTTAAGAGACTCTCAGGATGAAGTCAGTGTAATCAGGTCTCCTTTTGAGCTGCAAAGACACCATCTGGAAACACCTTGAGGGCCTAAGGGTTACTGTGAACCCACAGCAGATGCCTCAGGAGGGACCTTTGTTTCGCTGCCCAGGCCACGGACTGCAGTTCCTGACCGGTCCTTCCTGGCAGGTAGGCTGTCTGTTCTCCAGCCTGCAAGGGACTCAGTAAGACACACCTGCCCCTCCGTGTCCCAACCAGCCTTTCAAGTCCCCTCCACCCTGGTGGCCAAAGAATCAGAATTATGGGCAGAATTGGTAGCTGGCCGAGATCCTCAGCCCTTCCTGTCGCGAGGAATTCTCTAGGGTGGAAAGTCTTGTGGCCTTCTCAAACCACAGGGCATCATCCATAATGGCCCCTCGAAAATGCTGGTACCAGCAACATTAACCCCCTCCAAGAACCTGAGTGACAAGTGAGTAGAGAAGAGGAACAGAAGCCGCCATTCATTCATGTCCAATCAAGGTGGGCGCCGGGGAGAAGATAAATACCTCCCCAGATGCCTGCCTAATCTTAAGGCAAAATGCCAAGATTCGGTCACTCTCACAAAGTATTTGAAGGATTCAAAGATCTTTCTTAAGAAGATCCCAGTTCCACTGTTTCTAACTCAGTCTCGATTCCATCTGTAGAGACGACAGTGCGCTCTAATCCGATGGTCTGCGGTCTCATGGTTCCCCTTTGGTTTGTGGGACTGGAGGATGAGGCAGGGGGCAAGGGTGATCCCCAGACTAGGGTCAGACCACAGCTGCTGTAGAAGGTCACCCAGGCCTTTCCTTTCAACTGGTGTTTGGGCTTCTGGGAGCCCCCCTGATTCCTTCTAACACAACATCCTCATCTCCTTCTCTGAAATGGACAAAGAACTTTCAAAACGCACATATTTCTCCTCGGGCTGATGCTTCAAGTGGAGAAGAGAGAATGAAAATGAAAAGCTCCAAGATCCAGGCTCTGCTCTTGCCAGATTTGTTCCGGCTTTTAGTGTTTCTTTTTAGAGCATGAGCACATCCAGGGCACCTCCTGCCGGAGTTCCCCGAACTCCATCCTCCACGCAGAGGCCAGCAGGGGGCTGGCAGAATGAGGCTGCCAGGGAGGGGCCGAGGAGGGTGGAAGGTCATTCCTTCCTGAGGGGTGTGGTCATCTGGACCAACCCTTCCTCTGGCCTCCTCGCAATGGCCCGTACCTTTTCCACCTCTCAGGGACGGGATAAACAGTATGAAACATGCTTTGCTATCCAGATTATTTCTCCACCAGCTGTGACACTGGCCGAACTTGTCTACTTTGCAGCCAAATCACAAGTCTGCCCTAACGCTATCAAACATCAAGAGCTGGATACTGTCGGCTGAGAGTGAGCAGGGAGGGAGACGAGAGTCGAAGGAGAAGCACAGCAGGCTCCGAGCCCTGCAGTCACTCGGCCTTGTAGTAACGAGAGGTTGGCTTCTTCACCACCGCTCTTTAGTGTCTCAGAAGAGACCGCCCTGGCTTCTGACTTCCTCTCCAATCTAACTCGCTTTGTGAACCATTCCCCAGCTGGTCTGATCCACCCTATTGTCTCTTCTCTGAGCGGTATTTCCCTAGGACAGATGCACGCTGAACACCTGGGATCTAACACCAGCTGCTGTGGCTTCAGGTATCACCTGACATCCTGGGCTTAAGACAACTTCTTACCTAAAGTGAGGGGATCAGACCAGATCAGAAAAGGAGAAAATGTCAACTCTGACCAGGAGGTGGTTTTCTGGAAAGCCAATAGTGGAAGCCTGTACTGAGGGCCACATGTGAGATCATCAAAGAAGAGCAATGTGATTGATTAGCGATGTCTGTCACTGTCATGGGAATGGGTGTTGATAATATACACCAAGTATTTGCCTGAAACATTTTGTTCTCAACTGTCCTTCCAGGTCTAGCAGGTCTAGCATCTGATGACACCTCACACACTAACGTCTTTATCGCTCAGCACTTAATTATGTACCACGCTCCACTTTCTCCTCACTGCTTGATATATATCCATCTTGCTTCCCTAATGGGACTGTGGATTCCTGGAGCAGGTGAGGGCCATGTCTAGAATGCTTGGTACAAAACTCAGTTCACAATATTGATGCTCAAAAAAGTATCAACACATTGATGGGCTGATTTAGTGAAGAAGGCCCTGATGCTTTCAAGGTGATGATAAATAAGGGAGAGCTGGCAACTCTCTGAAACCACTGAGACTCGGTTCCCTCCAGCTGGCTGAAACACTGTGATCTGGCTCCCATTTGGGGAAAGAAAGAGGAAGAGGAAGAAGAGGTGAAGGAAGAGGAAAGAGGAAAAAATAGAAAAAGAGGAGGATGAACAAGGGGAGGGGGAGAAGGAGGAGGAGGAAGAGGAGGAGGAGGAGGAAGAAAAGAACATAGTGCTTCTTGTTCCACTATTCAGCACCTTAAATGGAGCCATAAGACAATGAGCAGGCAGAAGGGACTGGTCTGACTTACACCAGAAGAGGCCCATCCCCCCTTATTCCCACTGGGCTTTGAGAAAGATTACAAGGCCATGCTTCCTTGCAGCACCCCTCATCACTGTACCAGGGCAATGCTATTCCACCGGGAGGTGGCCCCTCTTTTTCCTGTCCTCCCACTTTGTATCTATGTGGAGGCCAGAGTTGAAAAACATGGTCATCCCCTAAAATCCATTCAGCCCTCAAAGCTAATTTTACCATTTACTATTTGCTCTGTACTAATTGAATTCTCTATTTCAATGGACTGTTCTTATCAGGGAAGTGCATGGATACACAGAGAATGCATTTCTATTTATTTACATGCAGGGATGGTAGTAATGCACTACTAATATTAGCCACAAACAAGATATTTCAAATAGAACATACTCCCAAATCCTACTGAAACATTGTAGCTCAGGCCTTCAGGCAGCAAAAGGAAGGAAAGAAACAACTGTTATTGCATAATAGCCATTGGAACCTAGACCAAACATCACCAGAAATAGAACGTTCTCAGCATTCATTGTTATTCATCTTCCAGCTTTTTACATAAGTTGTAGAAATAAAATATTGTGAAATTTCACTAAATCATTTGGAGACGAGGAAAAAAAATAAAAACTCTCTAGTACATGCACAGAAATAGCAATCTGACTGCACAAATAAACGCTAAATGTGCCCGACTGTGTTGAAATTCAATGCAATAAAAGAAAGGCCTTCAAAGAAGATAAGGTTTTAACCGCATCAAAAGGTTCTTGTGCAAAATGGATCATTCAAATCCCCAGGATGGCACTCGCCACTAATTAGTTCTGTTAGGTCTTTTGACATCAAGTTCAAGGAATCGCTGCTAAAAATTCCACTTTATGAAACACACTTCCAAGCAACCTGAGGCAGCTATTCAGATTTACATTAAGAAACATGTTGTTGTTCATATCCCTGTGGCAATTTTCATTTCCCATATGTTACAGGGAAGCAATGGATACGAATCAAGGGTAGAGGAGACTAGCTTGAGAAGAAAGGTTAAGTAACTAAAAATATATGCACAACGTTGCTTCTGGGGAAAGAGGAGGTGATGGGAAAGGATAAGTATAAGTTTTTGGAGCGTGTAAAGAAAAAGGGGGAATAGCAGACCGGGGTCTCATGAAGGGGTATTTTACCAAGGTGAACTGAATAAATATAGCTCATCAATGTGAAACATCAGGTTTCCTCACCAACGTGTACAACCGTGAAAAACATCCCATAGGACATTTTGATTTTCAAGCTACAGTTAAAGTGGGAGGGGGGGGGGGAGAGGAGGAGGAGGTCGTCAAGTGCATTTGGGTTAGAATGTTTGTTTTTTCTTATTTTCATTTTTAGGATTAATGATTACATTAAACAAATCTTTATAAGCTACCCATGGGTAATAAAAATGAAGCAATTTATTATATTCACAATGTTGTTGTTTTTTTTAAATACAAAAATGACAATTTCAGAATTTAAGTTCACAAAACTTCATAGTTCGTAGATGAGAACCTGCATATTTATTGTACTTTTCTGATTTCCCTCCAAAATTATGGTTTCTAAGTTTAAAACATTTGTATATCTCTCAGCAATTATCTTCAAATAAAAGGACAATGAGAAAGTAGAATTTTCTTTGCAAATTACAAGAGTGTTTTTTGTTTTGTTTTTTTTTTTTAAAAAAAAGGAAAACAAATTTTATGAAGTTCTGCTTACCTGGAAGACTCCACAAACCAGAAACTTCCAGAGTTCTTAATTTTTTCTCCAGTTCAGCCACCCGATTCCCTAGGATTCTGGAAAGGGGGAGAAAATTGCAGCAGAGAGATTAATGAGCATCTCATTAGCTCCCAAGGCTGTGAGCAGGCTACTTGGGAAACCCACTAGTGCACTGATAGAAATACTTCAAGATTTAAGATATGTGCTAAAAATGGAATACACACACACACACGCTATTGAAAATACATATAAAAATAAAGTGAATAATTTTAAAAAAAATACTAAAATGTTGCCATTGAAGTGACTCCTCTCTCTAAAACAGTGGTTCTCAACCTTCCTAAGGCCGTGGCCCTTTAATACAGTTCCTCATGTTGTGGTGACCCCCAACCATAAAATTATTTTCATTGCTACTTCATAACTGTAATTTTGCTACTGTTGTGTCTTAGGCGACCCCCGTGAAAGGGTCATTCGATCCCCAAAGGGGTCGCGACCCACAGGTTGAGAACTGCTGCAAAAGGTAGTTAGTTCCTCTTAGACACTAAACAATTATTCCCACTGCCCAAACATCTTACAGGATTTCTACTTAGGAATTGCTCATGGCTAAAAAAGACTATGAATTTTGAATGCCCTTAGTAGTATCACACCTTGACACTTTGAAGGTAGATCTGAGTTTTGGAAACAAATCAAACAAATACTATGGGTGAATATACTTGGTAATATGGCTTTGAGTCAATAAAATAATAGTATCTGCCTTCTTAGACCTAACCTATGTAAGACTGATGTCCTATTCTTGCTTGATATCCAGCAAAATGCCTGGTAAATGTTCAAAATGTATTTGATTAAACAAATGCTTTTCTTTTCTCATGGCTTATAATTATCAATGGAAAGAATTAACAATAACAACAACAGAAATTTCTAAAGAACTCTCAGTAACTGCAGAATCACTAGAATAATGGTATTGCTTTCCGAGGTGACCATTCTGACTCACTGACATGTAAATTCTGGAATGTGTATTTGAAAAGACTACACTGCTTACCTGGAAGTCACCCTTTGCCTACATGCGTGGAAAGACATACATGTAGGCACATATTTCACCTCCTTTACACAAAATTAAACTTTTTGGGAAATGATTTGATAGTCATCTAAAACTTCAATCGCTTCCCATTGGCCTTTATATTATTTGGGGAATTTTCTTGGCACCACTGTGCCAAAATGATACGGAAATATTCTTTTTTTTTTATCCTTACCTGAGGACATTTTTCCATTTTTTGTTCAGATAGAGCGGGAGGGAGAGAGAGGAAGAGAGAGAGAGGGAAACATCGATGTGAAGGGACACATCGAGTGGCTGCCACCCTCACGACCAACCAGGGCCGGGGACAAACTGCAACCGAGGTACACGCCCTTAGCGGGAACTGAACCCGGGTCTCTCTGTACCATGGGCCGACGCTCCAACCGCTGAGCCAAACCGGCCAGGGCCGGAAATATTCTTAATAGCAAAGTTTCAATTCCTTTCAACAGGAGAAATCGGAGCACCAGAATTGTTCTCCCGGCTCTCTTGATATTCCAGAGATAGCTGCATACACCCACATACATACAGAGACATGAATATGTATCTATCTGCACATATGGATATGGCTTGAATTATCCTTATTTTATCTGACTGACTTACAGCATCTTAATTAATATTCCCTATGAATTCACAAAAAACCCTGACATTACTATATGTGATTTTCTTCATCTAGGTATTTAGAGCTTATCTTTGCCACTTTTCCTTAAGTCTTAAATTCTGCATAGTATTTATCAATTACTTTCAATTTTCACTCCAACTGTTGGGTCTATTCTGCTTTCATGACTCTGACCCTTCAATAAACACCATTCTTTGTAATCTCACTTTCAATATTTTGCTCAGACCTTTGGATCCAAGCTCCCTTTTCACCAGCTGATGGGTTTGAGATGCAATCACAGCCGTGTTCAAGTTGACGCCTGTTTCTTTACAAGATCAGATCATCTATATGTGGCTGCCTCCCGGAAACCAAAGATAAAGCTCAACTCTTCTGTGGACACTGAAGGATGCCGTCAGGGCAACGTTCGAAGGCGTGGTGGAGAGATATTTGCTTGTATTTTTCTGATGTTCCCAGATAACAGCCATGTCTCCCGGAAACGGAGTGAGATGAACTTGCTGGTGTCCCCAGCAATCTACTTTCAGAAGCCCTGTCTAAGTTTGTCAGCAGTGACTGTTTTCTTTGGCCTGACAAAGGCATGCAGGGCTGCAGGCAGTACATTGGACCCAGCAGAAGTTGTAGCAGTAATAGTATCAATATCAGCAACCACACTACGGTTAACACAAACAGCGAAACTAATCTCTCCACAGTCCTGGATCAGGGTTCATGCTGAACACCTGCCAGACTTGCTCTGTCTCATCAGCCCTGACAAAAACCCTGCAGTGCTCTCTGTATTTTTACCCTTGTTTTACACGTGTGGACTCTAATGAACAGAGAGGTCAAGCAACTTGCCCAAGGACAGAGTTCATCTCAAAGCTCTGTCTTTTCCCAACACCCAGTGCTCTTGCCCACCATACTCTATTCCTCCCATTAGCAAACAGAGGCACAGAAGTTAGTTAACTTGACCAAAATCGCATGCAGGGCTCAGCTGGTGATGAGTCTGGATTTGAACCTGTTAACCCATGGTCATTGGCACCAATTCAAAAGCCAACAGGAATCCCCAATTTGGGGTGTGGTGAAGGAGGACTCAATGAGAAGGCTGCACGGCTGTGAAACCGGCACTGCTGTGGACGGTTCAACAGCGCTACAGCACAGCCGGGAAGACAGCAGGCCTGAGAGGCTGCCCCAGGTCCAGGCCCCTCTTCAGCCAGGTAGCTCCATTCCAGCCAGGAAACAGCAGTTTCCAGTCTCTGCTGAAAAGGGGAGCTGACGTACATAGACATAAAACTCCATCCCTGGTCCTTGATTGGTCCATCCCCATGCAAATTAGGATGCCAAATCCTCAGTTTGATTAGTCCAAAGACACTGTCCTGATTGGTCATAACAGAGCTGCTCTGATTGGTCAGAGCTGTGCAGCTCCAATTGAACGGAGAAAGCTTCAGTCCTATTGGTTGAAATAGGACTCCAGGAACTCCTTTATGGGCGCTGGCTCAGGTGGCAGAAACACAGTGCAGGCAGGCTGTTTAGAGCAGAGGCTTCTCCGCAAGTGCAGTTTGCATGGGAGGCCCCTGTGCAGAAATGGCTACTAGGCTCCTTTATCTTTTTTTTTTTTTAATTTGAGCCCAGTTAGCCTCCAGGAGCTCTTCTTAGTCTTCAGAGCTCACAAACCTAAGCCTCAGCGTGCCTCCGGAGTGCGTGCAGTCAGCCAATAGCCAGCAATGGCAATGTGAAACAAGCGTTTTCATGTCTGGAGCAGATTCTCATTACAAACCGTTTATATTGAAATATGCATGTCACCACAGCTGACTTGCCAAATATAACCCAAGATGCTTCAAATGACAAAGAGGGACCTCCTGATTGGCTTGACACTGAGACTTGTGGCAGGTGGTCCACTAAACATGGTGTGATGCATCCCAGCGAGAGAAGAGGGCTATTTGAGTCTTAATAGCTGTCTATATTTATAGATGGAGATGGTGGAAGTAGGTACAGGGTCCGTTCAGTTCAGTTTGACCAATTCAACAATTACTGAGGCTGTAGGGGATAATGGAGAGAAGTAGACCCTGTCCCTGTATTTGAGGGACTAAAACCCTGGTGGGAGACAGACATACAGATGTGCACACACACGCCCGGGGCCAGTGGAAGGTTTTAATAACAGTTGATATTTATCAGTCACATGTTCTGTACCAGATTTTGCTCTAAGCACTGCACAGCTATTATCTCCATTAATCCCTTGCCACAACCAATGAGACAGCTCTTATAATCCTAATTTTGGAGATGAGGGAACTGGGACCCAAGGAAGTCAACTAATGTGTCTAGGGTGACACAGCTGGTAAGTGAAGGGGCCAGAATCAAACCCTGGGCCCAGAAGTACAAAGTCCTTCAGTAGACCTGTGGAGCAGGAGGGAAGAGTAAATGAAAGATGAAGGCAGAGAGGCTTGTAGGGACCCAGATTTAATGATTTTGTTGCTATATTGCCAATGGTAAGATGTACACACTGGCACTGGAAGGGTGTTAAGCATAAAGCAGCATAATAAAGTTTAGGAAAAATATTCTTGATGTAAAGTTGAGAAGGGACTGGCAGAAACATGAGTAAAAGCAGAAAGACCAGTCAGAAGGTCATTGTCCAGATCAGTGACGATGGTGGCCCAGAACAAGCCAGTGGGGATGTAGGGAAGCCAACGGAACGGGGCAGCAACCCTCCTAGTGAGAAGTGTGTCTGCAGGACATCCATCTGGACATACGGAGAAAGGGAAGATCTGGGAGTGCAGAGATGAGAGTGTAGCTTGAGGGAGTGGATCTGCTCACCAATAGCACAGGAGTCAGAAGAAACCGGGGGTAGACCACCTCCTGTGTATGGCAAGAAAGGACCAGAGAAGCACACGTGGAGATGGAGGAGGAGATCCAGGGCAGTGTGGGACCTCCAAAGCCAGGGAAACAGAGTTCCAGGTGGGATGGCATGGTATTGTCTTATTCTAGAAGGGGTCATACTTCTAGATCAAAGTTTAGAAGAGGCCACTTAGAAGATGTGCCGGACCCTTGAGAGAGATGTTTCAGTGGAGGCAATGACATCCAGACTCCAAGTGACAATGTTGAGACAAAAGCAGACTATGAGAAAGTTGAGATGGTGAATATAGATGACTCTGCAAGTAGTTTAGCAGGGAATTGAAGGAGATAGCTAGGGCAGTAGCTGGAGGTATAAACCGGCTGGAGAGAGAATTTTTATTTTTGTAGGATAGGGGAGATTTCAACATATTTCACCTAAGAGTCTAGGAAAATCCTCAAAATGTCAGGCTTCTGGATGGATTTTCAGTAGCAATTTCTGATAACAACAACATCAGAGAGGAATCTGCAAAGACAGAGCTAACTCAGGAACTGGCCACCACTGTGCCTCGGCCTTGCTCTCTGGACAACACAGGGAGCAGAAGTCCCTGACTGAGGGCCTGAAGAGGGGGCTGTGGCTCTACACAGACCTGGAGATAACCTGCCCCCACCTCCACCCAGGTGACCTTTTTCTGAATCTCTGCTCTGATCCATGACAGCTGATACTCCTACTAAGATCTTGAACTTCCAAGCTATTTACCACCGGCCAGGGAAGGGGAAGAGCCGTGAACAGTTTTAGGCCCAGCAGGAAGGGTATCGAAAGGCCAGTATGTCTTTGTAAATTCACCACCACCACCATCACCCCACCACTGGCAAGGCGATGGTTTGTTGGGAAGAACTGGAGAACTAAATGTGGGGTTCAATGAAACAGTACTTTAACATCTGTCTCTTCTATTAATGCTTCGCCATCTGTTTATAAGACAAGTGAACCTCATCTCTTCTTTAGCAATAATCAGACAACTGCCAACTCTTTGGCAACAACCTCAAGCAAAATGCCTAGTAATTGAATGACCTCTCAAAAGTCCTAAGTTTAGTCATCAATTCTTCAAGATGGCTCCCTCTGCACCTTCACACGGGGTGGGTGGTATCTGTCAGTCAGTGGAAAACATACTTCTGGAACAGTCTCTTTATTCCTACTTATGATGCTTCATCAGAACAAAACTATCTTCTTATTTTAGTTACAAAACACTAAGTCACGGGGAATAACAGCAAGCAGACAAAATTCACCTTCCATTCTTAGCCCCCACTTGATTTGTTGTTTAATTCGTTTGTTTACATGCTCCCCAATGAAGCATTGATCCAAAGCATGAAACTCAAGACCCTCTAAGTATTTAGAGGTACTTTATGTACTGATATGAAGCAATCTTCAAGATCTATTGTTATGGACGAAGTGCAGAACAGTGAAAACTTTTTAAAAATGTATACTAGCTATTATTTGTAATAAAAAAATCTATATAAATGTACAGGAGCATTTTGGTGTCTGTATAAATGCATTCTACATTTGCTTATAGGTGCATGCTTGGGAAGAATCCATAGAAGTGAGGAATGGTGGTTTCTTCCAGGAAGGGGATTGGGTGGCTAAGAGAGTGGAGATACAATTAAGTCCTAACTTAACGTCCTCTATTGGTTCTTCGACTTTAAGCAAAATGACGCATAACAAACTCAGTTTTACCATTGGGTGATTGATAAAAACAAGAGTTAAGTTCCTAAGCAACACATCAACATTATAATGAAATGACAATGAATGAACTGGCATTATTCAAGGACCTGCCATATAGTGTTGTTTAACCTTTTCAATTTGAATCATGAGATGGTTCAAAATTACTAAATAGTGCCCTGGCCAGTTTGGCTAAGTGGTTAGAGTGTCGGCCTGTGGTCCAGAGAGACCCGGGTTTGATTCCCGCTAAGGGCATGTACCTTGGCTGCAGTTTGTCCCTGGTCATGCAGGTGGCAGCCACTCGATGTGTCCCTTTCACGTCGATGTTTCTCTCTCTCTCTCTCTCTCTTCCTCCTCCTCTCTCTCCCTCCTGCTCTATCTGAACAACAACAACAACAACAAATTACTAAATAGTTAAAAATGAAAAGGTGCATTAAAGCAAAAAAACCCTGTCAGAATGAAAACCTCAGTCTTTTTCACAAGAGGCAAGAGCCCATGGAACTTGGGAGCACACATGGCTACGTGGGAAATGTTAGGGACACGTCAGGCAATCAGCCTGGCCGAGGGGCAGGAGTGTCAAATCAACAGCAACGTGGCACACTGCAGGATTCTACCCCCCAAAACAGACCTCCTGCCTGTTCTGGGAGAGTCCCGTTCCTTCTCCCTCCCCTTAGAAGTATCTGCAGTTCAGCCTCTGGCTGTTTCGTTCCTTGGTTAAGATTTCTTTAAAAAGAATTTCTGAAACTTCTTCGGTCAATAAATTACCCTTGTCATTCCTTTGAGATTGCCCAGATTCCCTCCACCGCTCTCCGCCTTCGTTTATATATATCTTCATCTCCCGCGCGATCTTCCCTTCCCTTCCATCTCCTCTTGGTTCTGTTGTGTTTCTACAATACTCTCAATCATCTTCCAGACCGCCTTCCCTGGCCCCTCCCCTTCTTGCTGAAGCCAGCCTTTCGTCTTCTTCCACACCTTCAGTTTGGTCCGAGGGTAGGGCTTATAAGCGGGACCAGCTACATAGTTGGCAGGGCCCAGTGCAAAATGAAAATGTGAAGCCCCTTTGCTAAAAAAATAATTAAGAATTTCAGCGTGGAAACAGGAGCATTAGACCAAGTGCGGGGCCCCTCTGAGCATGGAGCACTGAGCAACCACGGCCGTTAGCCCATGAGCTGGCCATGTGCACTTTGCTGTTTTAATGTACTGTTTATCCACCATTCTCCGAACCCGTTCAGTTGTGCTCCTGTCGTCTCTACTGGCTACTTCAACTTGCTTGATTTTGCCCAACACAGTCAATATGTTTATAATAATCAAATAAGGTATTCTGTTTTAATTGCCGTTCCTTCTTGCCATCTGTTTTGCTGATCTTGACATGAGACTCCCTTGCAGGCCCAGCTGGCTTTGGGTGGATGCTTGGCAGCTCCTGCCATCCAGAGCCCCTCAAAGTCATGCTGTAGGTTAAAATGGCACTCGGGAGGTGCCTCCCTTAAAGGAGACCTGGAGAACAGGTAGGCTGAGCTACCCAGGCGACTGTACTATCAAAGTCGCCATTGAATATGCATTACTCAGTGAGCAGTTCAGGGCAAGCATTCGGTAAGCAGTGACCAGTATTATTTGATGGCTCAAACTCAGCTGAGAGGCAAGGTGCTGTCATAGTGCAGAAGCACAGCTCTAGTTTAAGAAGTTTCCTACCAGATCTAAGTGTTCTCACCCACTTCCCTTAAGCAGTGGTTCTCAACCTTCCTAATGCCGCGACCCTTGAATACAGGTCCTCATGTTGTGGTGACCCCCAACCATAAAATTATTTTCGTTGCTACTTCATAACTGTAATTTTGCTACTGTTATGTCTTAGGCGACCCCTGTGAAAGGGTCACTCGATCCCCAAAGGGGTCGCGACCCACAGGTTGAACACCGCTTAAGGCATGTGGTCCCACCAGTTGCCGTCACCCCACATCCCTCCAACCCTCTCCCCACCCAAAGATCCAGTCGCCTACTTGTTGGTCTGCCTCTGGTGCTGGATGACCATGTTCTTCTCGTGGATTGTCTCCAACAGGGCTGTTGCCAGAGACTTCAGGTCAGAAATGGACTGCTGAGTAGCTGGCAGACTGCATCCGTGATCCTCAGATAGCAGATCCTGAACTAGGAGGGACATAAAATTCACATCTAGTTTTAAGTCCATCCGGAACCCTGGAATGCAAACCAGGGCCGGCTTGTCCTGGATACTGCCAGGGACCCAGCTTCTCAATGCTGCTGTGTTACACTAGAGTCCATTTCAAAGGTCAGGAGTACAACAACATAAAGCTCGGTGTGTGGGTTAGACAGAGAGGAGGGCATCTCGTGGACTTCTACCAACACTTTTTAAAAGGATAATAATCTGTTGCATTTATCCAGTATTTTATACTTTCAAAGAAACATTCATATTGACTAACTCATTTGAGCCTTAAAATGAACCAAAAAAAAATCCACCTGGGAAAAAAGCATTTATCATCATTTCATGCACAGGAAAGCAAAGTGCAGGTGGATTAAAAACACTGGCTGCAGGTCACGCAGTCACATTAATGACGACGACTCTAGCCCTGAGCTCCTTCCTTTAGGTCCGAGTTTCCCAGGGTGTTGGCACCTTTAGTGAGTGGCAAGATAATTTAGGAGATTGCTTAAACTACAACCTATATTTTGTATATGCACATTTTTAGAAGGGGTAGGCAAACTCAGGGATTATCCAGAAAGACAAGGACCACGTGTACTCCCACCAGACAGAAAAAGGACACAGTACAAACCACTATATATTTTTGAACACCATTTCCTATACGCTATATGCAGACATCCAGATTCATGCATTTGTCTTCAAAAATGGGGGAAAGCTCTGCTTTTCTCACTCAACCTGATGCATCATGAGCATCTCCCAAAACAAAATATAACAGCTGCTTGGTCGTTCATGTATAGAGATATAATAATAAATATGTTGTTTCCAAAGTTTATCATAATTAATGTAGGAAGAACTTTCCCGAAGCCAAACGTTGGCGTAGGCCTACAGTTACCCTTTCAAGGCATTCCATAATAGGTTGCCAAATGGTTATCTGCAGGCTGTCCAGATTCACGGCCTGGCCACGGTGTTTGAGTGTGGCCGGCTTTCCCCACAGCAGAGACAAGGCTGGTCTCCGCATTCAAAGATGTTCTGCTGTCAAGAGTATCCAGAGCTAACCTGAGACGGGCTACTGTCGGTTTCTTTTTGAGAAACAACTCTAGCCCTGGCCAGTTTGGCTCAGCAGTTATATCGAGTGTCGGCCTGCAGACCAAAGAGTCTCGGGTTCGACTCCAGTCAAGGGCACGTACCTCGGTTGTGGTTTGATCCCTGGCCCTGGTTGGAGTCGTGCAGGAGGCAACCAATCGATGTGTCTCTCTCACATTGACGTTTCTCTCTCTTCTCTCTCTCTCTCTCTCTCTCTCTCTCTCTCTCTCCCACTCTCTCCCTCCCATTCCATCTGAAAATCAAAGGAAAAATATCCTCAGGTGAGGATTAAAAAAAACAGAAAGAAAGAAAGAAACAACTCTAGTGTGTCCGTTTCTGGTGGAATCAGGAAAAAGAGTTGCCTGGAAAAGTGCCTTGGTTAAGCTGAGAGTGAGCAAATATTTAGGCGACCCCCGCTCTGACTGAGACCGCCGTCTGACTGTTGCCGTCTGACTGTTGCCGTCTGACTGTTGCCATCCGCACTGCCAACAACCCGGAAGTGGGCCAGTCAAGCGTGTTCAACCTGAGGCTCACATTTAAAACTGAACTCCCAAACAGTAAGTGTCAGAAGCAAGCTCTCTGCTATTTATGCCCCTGGACTGTTCTTGGAAGATCATTATTTTTCATCGGAATCGACAAGGAGGAGGAACAAAATTGCAATCAATAGAAGCTTCGTTGAAAACGGCACATGCTCTGTGATAAAATGATCTCAGCAGCTATGAGACTTCTGTTCTGATCACAGAGGCCAGGAAAAAGGGAAATTCAATGAGGCTGGAACATGGACTCGGAGATGCTACACTGGGGATCTGAGAAGGGACAGCATCGTTGGAAGAACAGCACAGTGCAGGGGAAGGGACGCAGTTACCAGGAAACCCCTAAGGCAGAGGTTGTGAAAACAGGGCTCTCAAACCAGCATCAGCATCACCTGGGAACTTTTTAGAAATGCCTTTTCTCAGGGCCCGGCCCAGACCTCCTACATCAGAAACTCTGGGTGGGGGCCAGGACTCTGTCCTAACCAGCCCTCCAGGGACTTCTGGGGCAGGTGGAAGTTTCTAAGGATCAGCTCGGTTGCCAAGCCACGAACAAGATGCGGACGGACAGCTCCAGTGTCCTGTGCTCCTGAGTGGTCCCTGCTGGAGAACACACCCTACCTTGCTTTGCAGAGAGGACCCCCGTCAGGGCACTGCTGCTGGATTTACCCTGGCCTTTCGCGTTTTTCCGTCTCTCGAGAGCATTCTAAAGCAGCATTGGGAGAAGAATAAAAACCTCTGTCAGAAGAGCCAGTAAAGGGGAAATACCTGGTTACAGTTAGACGCAGCCTCCCAGTTCAGCGCACAAGAACCCTTGGCAGACTCCAAAGGCCGGCCCACCTGTTCAAGTTCTGAGTCCCTGCCAAACGGTTCGGATTGTTATGGACCTGGTAAAGAGGTTTTTTTAAAGCTGGTGCCTGACAAAATGACAGCAATTACCTTCTCCTACACACAAAACGCACTCAATGCGTATCTGTTAAATTATCAGTCTCAGCCTAATGTGTGAAGTCACTGGTTCTGAAAACCCCTTCCGAAGAGACATGAGGTGGAGGGAGAGCAGGTTAACTTCCACGTGCCAACGCCCAGCCGCTATTAGTGGCATTTGGAAGGGTTCTGTGGCTGGACTGGACAAAGAGCCACGATCGATCGGTGATATCTGCCATGGGACACGAGGAAGGGAAGTGTATGTGTCCCCTAAATGTCATTCCTAGAAGAGACTCTTACATTAAAGTTGCTATGTCCTATACAGCCGGTGCTTGGCACATGGAAGAACTGAAAAAAATGTTCTCAAATGGATGCATACGTGCATATTTTAAAACTGTGTATTAATTATACATCTTTAGAAGCTGCATTCTTCTTGGGCTGCTTGTGCATATATAGACTGGGATAAACTGAACTGCGGCCCCCCGGACGGAAAGGAGGAATGGCACAGATTTCTGGGGAAAAGCCCCCGTCAGAGCCAGGGAAAGAGAAGGCTCTCCCAAGCATCGAGACGGCTGTAAAACTTCACCCTCAGGAGGAGAAATCAATCTATTTTCAAAGCAGAGGAACCCAGGAGATTTCTCTAATTATAACACTTACAAGTAACATCTGCAGAAATAGATATTATCAAACTAATGGTGCCGGGATGAGATGAAATAGCAGTGGGGAGACTTCAGACATTCTGTCCTTTCGGGGTGACGTGAACATTATGGGCTGGATTGCGATTTCCTAATCTTTGTTTCTTCCTCGCTCAGAAGCCATTTTCTTAGGGATGATTATGAGACAAATAGCATCTGATGACAGAACATTTTATAGAAAAGCCAGATAAGAAGTCTAATGCCACGTGGGCTGAGGCTGTAAAGGGGCCACGGCTGGATTCTGGGGGGGTCTCGGTGTGCCCCGTCCTGATAACGGCAGCAGAAGCAGCTCTCACGAGAGCGGTTTTGTTGTTTGGGTTTAATTCTCCCCGGCTACGCTACCTGGGCGAAAGCTGAGGGCCCTCTCTCCGGGAGTGCAGGCAGGCACTAAAATATCTTTGGCACATAAAAGAGAATTAAATAGGATGACATTTAGATGTACACCAGTGAATCATCGCCGTCGTCATGGTTCCGCTACCTTGTATTTGGCAATGTTAGATTTCAAGAGGTTGACCTCTTCATGAAGTTGCTTTAATCTCTCTTGAAGGTACCTGGGGGGAAAAAATACAAGTAGAAAGTGTTTGGGGGCAGAATTAAAAACATACACTCGAATAGGAGAGGAGAAAAACAGAAAAGCACGTGCCTGGGTGTCGTCTTTTGCATATAATGCCTTCTCACCACTGAAAAGTGCACCTTTGTGACCTCTGCTTAAATGGATGTGATCAAGGTCAAATACGCCCAAATCACAGAAACCCCACTTCAGAAGAGCCCTCCGCAGAGATCCCCTAAGGGATATCCACACACTTTTCACATAATTCTCATTAAGACGATTCCACAGGGAAGGAAGGCAGGAAGAGGACACACCAGACAGAACATTAAGCGAGACACATATACACACTGAAATTTGCCTCGGGGAAAAGGAACAGCTAAGGGAATTTCTCAATTTATTTTCTTATTCTTTTCTCTCTCCTTGATAGCAGTACCAGTAGCTTTCACTGGGTCCCCGCCCTCCTGCCCAGCTGCGGAGAGAAGGGGGCACACATGTGGGTGGGTGGGTGGGTGTGTGGTGCTTCTCTCGGACATTTACTACCACTATGTGGTATTGACATCTTTGGGGGCTGTGTCTCCTGCATTGTCAGGCAATTGTCTCACATGTGGACAGGGCTGCAAGCACCTCCCAGTCTGCCTGGGCCTGGCCACTTGCCTGTTCTCCATACACAGGGCGTCCACGTCAATGATGCGGTTCTCGTGGCCGCCCAGGATGTGGTTCAGCTCCTGGTTGAGCCTCTCCACTTTGTCCTGGTAGGAAGACCGCTCTCCCTTCACATCCTGAAGCTCATCCACAGAGGCCTGCAGGTCATGCTCCAGAGACTCAATCTGAAACCAAAGGAAGCTCCCTGACTCAAGATGTTCCGCAGACACCGGCTTTACGGCCAGAGACGGAGCCTTCCGCGTGGCTGGCTGACTTTTAGAGAGCTTATTAACACCGCCCGCGTGCTATAAAACCCTAAGAGCCGCTCGCTGGAATACGATCAAAGCTAAAAGGAAGGCGCCGGCGTCCTGCCAGACACGGACTCTGTGTGAGGTGGGAGGGCAGCACCAGCTTGGACACGGAGCCGATGCCCGACCCACGGCGGCGTGCCCTGAAATCAGAGGCGGGAGATGGCAAATCCCGAGTGGGAACGCAGCCAGTGTCTTACAAACGCATGCTTTCCAATCCACTCTAGACCCAGAAATCTTGTTCTGCTCTTCAAAACCAATTAGCAAGAGAAGGCAAGCAAAGTCTGGGCTCTCTTAGCTGTTCCCTAACTAGGACTCTCTACCCGTTGAGATTTTGCCTAAAAAGCACTGCTCAGCATTTGAGCAGAAACTTGCAAATTCAGGCCAGTTTGTCACATTTCGTTCTCTCCTTGTCTATCCCGGGGACAGCGGTGGGGTGGGGGGTGGGGGACACGGTTTCTTGTGTTCAGAACAATGGTACCAGAAACACAGCGGCGGCTGGGGAACCTGGTGGAGTGAGAGGAAGGAAAAGCACTATATCCTCCTTCCTCCTGGGACTCGCATCCCTGACACCCTGCACCCTCTGGGCAGCAGGGACACTGCCCGCTCTTCTCTGTGTTGTGTCCAGCTGTGCCAATCCACCTCTGCTTTTACCAGATGTTGGTAATAACCTGTTCCTTCGCTCTCTCCAGCTGCTGAACCAAGTCTTCGCGCTCATGGGCTGCAAAGTGCCGCACGCCGATTTCCTCGTCCCCGAGCCTCTGCTTGGCGATCGTCATCCTCAAGAGCTGCGTTTTCCATTAGCAGGAAAAAAAGAGGGTGGGGGAGGGACAAAGTTAAAATAAACAGCTCCAAAAAAAACCAAGCATACTAGGTAGAAAGTTTTGAAAGATTTTCAAGAAATGTTGGGAAAAAACACAAGTCGAAGACATCTCTTGCCAATACCATGAGTTTTTAAAAAACATATTGCATTCTGTACGCGCGCGCACACATACGCGGTATGAGGCTGACAGGAGCACCAGCCTGGGCATTGGAAGGTGCATGTTCTGTGTAGCATAGCCATGGTGAGGAAACCAACTCCGGGTTTCTTTTAAACTTAGCAAAAAGATTTAAAAATGGTAACACATGCTGAGATGAGTATGCATCCACACTCCTAACAATGAGGCTCGATTATCAAGAGCCTTAAAAATGTCCCCATTTAATGACCCAGTAACTTCACTTCTGACAATCTGGGCTGAGAATACTCTGAGACAAGGACTAGCTTTAGGGAAAAAACAAAAAAACAAAAAACAAAAGCAGATTGCACTGTCATTTATAGAAAGAGTAATATAACTAGAAACAACCTCCAACAATAGTGGAATTGTTAGCAAACTCTAATGCAATCAATCAATGGCCCACTTTGCAGCTGTTTTAAATAGGGTGCTGTGAACTCTGTGCTCCCACTGACATGTTTAGAATGCCAAGCTAACTGGAGGGAGAAGGCAGAGCATTACCTTTTCTATGCAGTAAGACTAAATTATACTGAGGACCCATGGGCAGAAGAAAAAAATGGCCAAATATATCAAAACACTAAAATGTTTAGGTGATGGAGACTGTGTAAGCTGTTCTTTTCTGTGTATTCCTTTTTTCATTAAAATGTTCTTTTTTTCCATTATAGTTTACATTCAAAATTATTTTATATTAGTTTCAGGTGTATAGCACAAAGAGCTCCCCACCCATATTTCCAGTACCCACCTGGCACCATACATAGTTATTACATTATTATTGACTATATTTCCTATGCTGTACTTTACATCCCAAGACTATTTTGTAACTAGAAATATATACTTCTCATACCCTTCACCTTTTTCACCCAGTCCCAGTCCCCCGAGGCCCTTCCCCGCTGGCAACCGTTAGTCTGTTCTCCGTATCTATGAGCCCGTTTCTGTTTTGTTTGTTCATTTATGTTATTCTTTAGATTCCACATATAAGTGAAATTATATGGTGCTTGTCTTTCTCTGACTTATTTCACTCAGTATAATACCTTCTAGGTCCATCCATGCTGCTGCAAATAGTAAGAGTTCATTCTTTTTTTTTTAATGGCCGAGTACTATTTCGTTGTATATATGTACCACTGCTTTTTTATTCACTCGTCTACTGATGGGTCCTTGGGTTGCTTTCATAGCTTGGCTACTGTAAAGTGCATATATTCTTTTGAATCAGTGTTTTGGGTTTCTCTGGTTATAGTCCCAGAAGTGGGATTGCTGGGTCATCAGGCAGTTCCATTTTTACTTTTTGGAGGTAAGTCCATACTGCTTTCCACAGTGGCTGCACCAGTCTGCATTCCCACCAACAGTGCACGGGGGTTCCCTTTTCTCCACATCCTCACCAACACGTGTAGTTTTCTAACTTTTAAAATAAGTATGTATACCTTTCATAACATATGTTTATTTATATGTTCTTAAACCCTTAGGGATATAATTCCAGTCCTCAGAAATGCAGTTTTCCAAAGGACGCCACAGAACGCACAGCTTCCCCTACGGCAAGGCCAAGCTCTCCCTGCAGGCCAGACCTCCCAGGCGGGGCTGCAATGGGAACTACGTGAGACCCCAGGGAGATCCAGAGGACCCTTTATGTCCCCATTAGTGTCAAGCAGGTTGCCATCAGAGTGACTTTTAAAAGTTTCAGTACTGCTTCCAGATGCGTCTTCTAAAAAGGCTGTAAGCCGGGTCCCCCCACCTCTGAAGGGTGTGTGCAGATGGGCTTCATATACGATGAGATCCTGGGGACAGTTTTTCCCTGTCACACAGATCCAACTCAGCCAGCGGTGCCTGCCTGGGGCACGCTTTTCTTTTTCCTTCCAATGAATCTTGAGGGATTTGTTGCCAGTAGAGAAAATGGCTTCATTTTCACATCACTGGAGGATTTAGGGGCAGGTGAGAGACAGAGAGTTAAAAGGCAAGATAGGATATTAACTAGATTGAATTAATAACAACTTTTGAAAAGAAATGATGACTGGAGAAAAGTAAAGAGCATTTTCAAATAACATAGATTTGAGGTCTTTATTTTAAAATTACTCAATTGAATTGGACACATATTTACTGTGCACCTACTATGTGCATCACTGGGATTGGGCAGACAATGTTCCAGGCAGCAGAACAGCTTCTAAAAAGACCTGGCAGAGGATGTACATAGACAGCTGTGCTTTATGGAATCTGATTACAGCCAAGCCACATTAGTCAAGGATTCTGTATTTTCAAATTTGCCCAAATTTATTTGTAACCTCAAAATCAACACCCGTGGCACTTCCAAATCATGCACAGGCACGGGTGAACAAGTGCAGAGTTGCAAAAAAATGTGAATTGTCCATCAGCCTAGCTCCCAGCTGAGGTTGAACGAGGCAATGTTCTGCCTCCTGTTTAGCTGTCTACACAAGTGTCCTTTCCATGGTCTATTTAGTGCCACGTTTTTTGGTTTTTGCTTTTTAAAATGCTCCCCATGCATAATGCTGAAGTGCTGTCTAGTGTTCCTAAGCACAAGAAGGCTGTGATGTGTCTTACAAAGAAAATAGGTGTGAGCTAAGCTTCATTCATGAGTGAATTACAGTGCTACTGGCTGGGCGTTCAGTGTCGATGAATCAACAATATACATTAAATAATGTGACTTTAAACAGAAACAAAACACACATAAAACAAAATTATGTATTGATCCATTGACAAAACTGTTGTGACCAGAGGCTTACAGAAACCCGTCAACTGAGGCTAGCACCAATTCAACGTCGACAGGAATCCCGGGTGTGGGGTGCGGTGAAGAAGGAAACTCGGTTCGGGGTAAACAGCTCAGTTGTCGTAGAGCAGGGCTGTGAGAAAGTGCTCTCTCTCCGAGTCAGAGGGGAGCTGGTTTATATACACAGAAGTCCCCCCCAGGTCCCCGATTGGTCTGTCCTCATGCAAATGAGGACTCTAAATCCTCAGAGTTTGGTTGGTCCAAAAAAGCACACTCTGGTCAGAGAAGATGCTAATGGGGATATAGCTGCGCAGCTCCGATTGGACAGGGAAAGCCTCAGTTCTATTGGTTAAAATAGGATTCCCGGAACTCCTTTAGAAGGGCTGGCTCCGATGGCAGGAACACCGAGCAGGCAGGCACTTCAGTGCGAACAGCAGGCGGTTTAATGCAGGCTTCTCCCTAAAGTGTGGCTTGTGCAAGAGTCCCCTGTTTACAAATGGCTGCTAGGCTCTGCTTTGAAATTGGAGCCCCGTTAGCCACAGGAGCCCTTCTTGGTAGGTGTCTTCTTCCTCAGGGCCGACAAACCTAATCCTGTATTTTCCCTAGGAGCAGTAGTTCAGTATTTGTTATTTCAGTGTTGGCCGCAACTTTAGAGAGTATAACTATGGTAAACAATGAGAATAACTGTATTGGGCGGTGGTGGGTGTGGAGGGTGGAGTTTATAGCAGCACTGATTAATTCAGCTGAAAGCTGATATGTGAAAATTCTTTAATGTTACACAATTGCTTGGCTCAGGACTTTCAGAACCCCAAGTGGGTATACAGAAAGACAAACAGCTAACCAAATAAAAAAAAAAAAAATCCCTCAAATCAAAGGGTCTAGGAACAGGTAGGCTTCGGCTCTGTGTAGTCTGAGGCAAAAGGAGACCTGTGATAGGACTTTGAATGGGGGCTCTTTTCTTGATATATGAAAAGCCAGACTGACAGCTTGAACTTTAAGTAATAAAACACCACTGTGGTTTCCATTCACAATCCACTTCACTGAGCACTTAATTTAGAATCACACAATTATGTTTGCTTAATGCCAATTAATTATTACACATGTTTATTCAGGTCTGACAGCCATAGAAGAGCCATCTTTTATATACTGGATGCCTGTTAAGCTTCAATAAATATGTTAGCAATCATTTGCTGTTTAATGTGCATACAATATCCGCTATTAAATCTCAGGACTAGACTGGCTGAAACACTTATTTTTCAAGTGAGGACCAAGTTGGTAATAGTTGGATCATTAGTTGGGTCTGACACTCCAGAACAATCAACTGCAGGGGCCCAAGGAGGCCAGGAACAGGGCTCCTAGGCTCTGAGTGCCCCTGCCTCGTGCTTCATGTCCTGGCTCCACAGTCCGTGAGCTGTGCAACCTCAGGCATGTGCCTTACTGTCTCTGAGCCTTCGTATCCTTCACTGTAAAAATCTGACAATAACAGTATAGCTTTTGACTGTCAGGTGAGAGAGAGTGGAGTTGTGTTGAATGCACATTTAACTAGGGCATTCAAATATATGTATTTGCCAAAAAGATGAGGGGGGGTTGGAGAGAAGAGTAAGCGAGCGATGGAGAAGAAAGACTGAGAGAGAAATGAAACAATTTTTAAATTGGGTGACTTACCCACACCTGTCACAGACTGAGAAGTGGGAAAAATCATACTGTTCACATTTATACACAATACCACTGTTCAGGTGTACACATGACCATGTGCCCTGAACCTTACGGACAGCTTAGGGCCCCTCAAGGGCAATTTTGACTAGATACAAGTTTCTGCCTCATACAGGCTGACTTCAGAACCTAATCCTAAGCGAGGGAAGATGGGATTTCTCTACCAGACTTAGCACAACCTCAGGAACATAAAAGTGCTCCATGAATGTTAGCAGCTATTATGATCATCGTTACAGTGATGGCCATTGTCATCGTCCACGGGAGTTGTCCCACAAAGACCCCCAGCTGGGGAAAGCAGAGCTCCCAGACCAGCCTTATCTACAGACCGCAGGCCATAACGCCGATTTCCCCTCTTGGAAACGGCTAGGAA